CCCAACGAGTCGAGACGAAATGGCACGTATGCAGAAAAGGAGTCGCGTCTCAGCTCTCTGGAAAGTAAGCAGAATGCAAAGGAGGAAAGGCCTACCAAAAATAAACGGAAAATCTGATGCCTTTTAAACTGATTTATTGATATGAAAATAAGAGATTTTTCTTTTAATTAATTTTCTTTAATTTTCTCTTTCCCTTACAGGAAAAATATGGAAATTTACTGAAAAGAAGGAGACTTCAAGGGAGTTTCAAGTAAGAAATTTAAAGAAACCTTAAAATAAATATATTCTAAAAAATATTTCTGCTAAAAATGAAAATCTAATTTAAACATATTAAACTAAAAATTATCAATTTTTGTATATATTTTTTAGCTCTAACTTTTTAGCCAAGTGTAATTGCATTCTGTGGATAAATCCGAGTCGCTGACTTTCGGCCAGTCATTCAAGCCGGAATGGAGATTCGTTTGGAGGCTGTTGCCTGATTTTGTTGCCAGACAATACTAGGCCTAAATCCCCTCCCGCACGCCTGCTGCACCCTTGCCACTTCTTCATATTGGCAACAATAAAACACTGTGAATGACAGACAGAGAAGTTCACAAGTTCAAATGCAGACGCGGCTTAGACAACAGTCCAGTCCGAATGTCCAACGGGAAACGATGGGGTTGCATTTCCGGATGAAGGTACAGTGAGGTCTCGCTAGATAGGAAGGTATTTTTCTAATGGAACTTTAAATTTTAAGTAAAGAAAATATTTTAAAGTTGAAATTACTTCACATTTTCATGATAATTTCTTTGAATATTGCAAAAAATCACATTTTTATCTTAAACTTTCTTAAGGTTAACCACTGTTTAAGTTGCCTTTATGTATGTTATGTAATTGTTTGTTTGTACGTGGGCCAAATTGCAATGCCATTTACAGGAACAACAACCACAACAGCAACAACAACAGCAAACTTCTTTTCAAACTCCCTTTCTCATTCTTCGCTTTTTTATAAGCTTCTTCTTCGTTCGCACAAAATGATGCGTATAAAATGCGCATAAATAAAACGGTTGGTTGGTAGCCCACAAGGAAGGCAAGAATAAAATGGGAAAGAGGAGAAAATTAACTGTAAATCTGGGATACACTATCTTACTTATCTCATCTTAAGAACTTATTTTTAGGACTATAAATATATTTTCTATTATTTTTATTCCTCTACTACTGCTCTTTTGAAAACGAGAAAGCTCTTTGAGTAAAGGCTTGTCGATAACTTATCGATAAAATCTTTCAAATTTGTTATAATTTTCATGTAATTAATATATAAAACTATCTAAACACCATCTAAAGACCCTATATAAGAGGAAGTTAATGACTAGAAACATACTAAATAAACATTTTCCAGGGAAAGGTCAGAAATCTCCTTCAAAGAAGCTAACTAAAATCAGCTCCCAACTCCTTTAAAGCCTCAACCCCCCTGATCGCATAGTAAACCAACTCCATAGACAGTGTAATTGGGGTCTTAAGCTAAACGGTACTTCTTCAAAATACCCTAAGCACGAGAAAAAAAAACGGCCAGTGGAGATACAAAAAAATGCCTTCGAAGGCTGCGCATGCGTGGAGCTTAAATGCTTTTGGCATACGTCAAGTGCCAAGCGTTGCTGTCTCTGTCTGTGGCGTTGTAACTATCTCTGTTTCTCTCTCTCTCTGTCTCTTATTCTGTTCCTGTTCCTGTCCTTGTCTCTTTTCCTGTCCAGAAGTCGCATCCGTGTCTGAGACTTTGGCCCGTGAGCTGAAGTGACGTCTCGTTTTCGATGTTGCCCCGGCAACAAAATGTCATTCGTTGCGCCCGTTGCACGCATTCCTGCACCCATTTTACCCATCCTAACCATTCAGGTCCTTGCACTGAGAGAAAATAATATGTTTATTTGAATATTAAAATCAGTTTTAGGCTATAGAAACTTAAAGACTTTAAACTTTAATATTTGTTATGCTTTCTTCTGGTGCTTCTCTTTTTCCCTGTAAGTTTTTCTCTCAGTGTGAATATCCTCATGCGTTTTGTTTTTTCGCATTTTTCTTTCTCTTGTCTCTGACTTTATTTGGCTTTTTTTTGTATTTTTTTTTTTTTTGATTTTTTTCGCCGCTTCAATTAGAAATTCATGATTCGTGGCGATTTCTTCATGCCCGTAACGGGTTGATGAGGCAACTCTGCTGTTTATTTTCACTGCATTAGGGTTGCCAGGTCGCACCTCCGCCTGGATATATTGGAATATATTGGATATTGGGCATTTGGCTTTGGGGAGTGGCTCAATGGAAATTTATACCAGTCTCAGACACATCATTATAAAGTTTAATTTCCTCTTTCTCCCTGTCCGTTAGTTGCAAGTTAGCTGCTGCTCTGCCACGGCAAGGGTTCTCCGGGGGATTACCTTTGGATGGAGCATTCCCTCTGCCTTGTTAACTAAGCCACTTGAGATTTAAACAAACAAAAATGCAATTTGTGACAATTTAAATATAATAAAATTAGTAATTTCAAAGTAGTTTCATTTCGATTGCCTGGCAAATGGCATTTAATTAACAAACACACAGACACGCTGGGATACAAACTGTCATCGTTCATTATTATCGTGGCCATTAACGTTCGCATTTTGCATTCGAAATGAAGTCATTACAACGGCCAAGTCCTCCTCCGACACTCATTACATAATGCTGATAATTTCATTAAATCCACAATCGCTCAATTCCTCAACGCCAATAAAAAAAATGAAGTAGAGAGAGGAGGGAGGAGGGAGGAAAAAAAGAAAAGCTGCAACACTGCAACGATGCAACGATGCAACGATGCAACGCACTTGATTTTCTCATTTATTGCTGATGAAGTGGAAATGAAAAAGCCGGGCTAATTTGTCGTTTCATTTTAATGACGGAAATTGTTGATTAAATTTTCCTTTTAACTGGCGAAGGGAATATGAGGATTAGTCCATGCTGCTGGATCATTAAAGAGCCTACATTGTGGTGGCATTAAAAGAGATTTAAAGATTTAAAGATTTCAATTAAGGCCCAGAAACAGCAAACAGCTTACCAGAAAGTAAGTACAAGCAAGGAGTCCAGACTTATATTTAATGATTTTTGTAACCTTAACTTCTTTATAGAGTATCTCCACTGTAACTAAGCTAGGGAAAAACGGAAAATGTGAAAATGTGGGGGAAAGTTGTTTAGAACAGGACTGGAAGCCGGCAAAGTCCCCTCAAAAGAGAGCGGCAATAAAAAGCCATTGAAGTCAACTCTAGTGCAAAAGTCAATGAAACTTTTATTACCAACATGCCACACACACACACCCGCACACCCCGGCCACCCCACTTAGCAAAAGGATTAAGGGGGCGGTTAGCTAACCCCCGCATTGGAGGCGCCACAAAAGAAGTGCAACAAACGACTTTTGTTTCAGGCTAAAGTTGCGTAAAGAAAAAATCCTCAAAAAAAAAACATGGCTCGGTGCATCACACTCAGTCCTTTCCCCTCTGCAACTTCAAATGTCAACTCTGAACTTTCCGCATTAACCCACCAGAAGTGGCCTACATAGCCGTTAAGCTTGTTTTCCCGCTTATTTTCCAAAGAATTTTCATCGATTGCAGTTCTATAACAAAAGAGGAGGGAAGTTGCAATTTATAGAAATATTACAGGTCAGGGAACAGCAATCCTTGCTGAAAAATGCGAAAGTTTTCAATACCGATACTGATACTGATACTTGATCAGAACAAAGCCAAATATTGTCTGAATGTGGATTGTCGTATCTCGTTGTGATCGTTGTTAAATTTCCATGAAAACTGCATTCACAGCTAAAAATCTTATCTTGTCTTTTTGTCCATTTTTAGCTAAATTTAATGATGTTACCCCTTATCGAAAAAATTAAATTTGGCTTTTCCCGATTTCCTCCTCAAAATGATAGTTTTCTGTCTATAACTGAGCCAATAATGGTCCAAATATCGAATGTTATACCTCGTTTGATTCGTAATAAAATTTCCAGCAAAACTGCATTCACAGAAAAAAATCTTAATTTTTGTCAATTTTTAGCTAAATTTAATGATGGTACCCCTTATCGAAAATGCGAGAATCGCCTTCTCCCAATGTACGCCTCAACATGAAAGTATTTTGCCCATAACTCAGCCAATAATGGTCCAAAGTCAGAATGTAATACCTCGAAATGCTTGTCTTCTTGTCCTTAGTAAATCTGCATTCAAAGTTGAAGAAGTAAAATTTGGGTCTTTTTTCGGAAATTTTGATGATGGCACCCCTTATCAAATCAAAGATTTGGCCCTCAACAAGACAGTCAAGACAGTATGTCCATAACTAAACCAATAACGCTCCGACTATTGAATATAAAGTCTCGTCGAGTTCATAATTAAATTTCGAACAAAACAGTATTCACACCTAAAAATCTTAATTTTTAGGAATTTTTCAAATAAAAAGAAGAGGGGTAAACCCTCATTGAAAATCTCAGATTTGGTTTCTCCCTTTGTCCTCTTTTAGCTCACAGTATTATCCCCATAACTAAGCCAATAGTAATCCGAATCTGGAATGCTATATCTCGTTGAATTCTTAATTAAATTTCTAACAAAACTGCATTCACAGCCAAAATTGTTAATTTTTATCCATTTTTCTCAAAAAAAAGACGAAAATCGGCCAAAAATTTAATTTTCAAATATCAGACCAAAAATTGTAGGAATGCTAGTCTTGATCTTTAGCTGCACAAAACTGTTGTTCCTTCAGCAGTGCGTCTTGTTATGACCAAGTTAGATATTAATAACCACTAAGAACTTTGGCTAAATCCTAGACCCTATGCCATCTTTTAATGCCTATAATAGGGCTCAAAAAGTTTTATGTTTTTAATGGAAATTAACCTCATTTTATAAGACTTTAAATACCCAGCTTATAACATAATAATTAATGCAAAAAAATCCTTAATTGTATAGTAAACTTCCCACTTAATTAGTGATCTCTGTTAACGCCCCAAAGGACTATAAAAAACTCACCAGAATATATTTCGTTGTCTCCTGTTGGCTGGCATTAGATTCCTACGGGGATCTCTGAACTTTTGGCCACCTCAAATGGCAATCGAAATGTATAATTTAATTGCGTAATTAAGCCGACGGCAAATCGGACTGCAATTTAAACTCTAGGGAGTGCTGTTGTTTATCTATATTTATTTATTTATTTTCGATTTTTAGTTTTTAGTTTTTGTTTGTTGTGATTCAGTCTTCGCTGCGGGTGCTTTTGCAGGCTGCTACCATTTTACTGACAGTTGGCAGTTTCTGATGTCGTTTTACTCATGTTGCTGTCGATCTCGTTGAATGCCCCACTGGTGTCCCTCGTTTACTTGGCATTTTTCATACATTTTTCTTAACATTTTCAAATTTTTTATTTTATTTCTATTACACAGAATTCTTGCAGCTTAAGAAAAACTTAGCCTTAAATACGAATTTGGCTTAATTGGCATTACATTGAAATGGTTAAAGACATTTTTCTGTGGCACTTTAATTTCTGCGGCATTCCGGTTGCACAGCTTTTTTTTCGATTTCAACTTTTGTGGCTTTTGTTGTACACATTTGTGGTATTTTGATTAGTAGTTTAATATCTCTACTTGTTAAAATATGTTTTAGTTTCGTGCTTGTATGCTAAGTAATTGTGCTGAAAGTGCAGTTTAAGGAGAACTTTTCATCTGATTTGATTTTGAGATTTTCTTTTTTTAGAGTTTTCATCACAATTTTCAAGTATTTTATTGTTATAATTTTAAAGTAGCCATCACAATAGAATCTACTTTAAAGTTTTCTATAATTTATTTGTATTTTTTGTTTGCTTTTTGATTTGATTAAAATTTATATAAAAACCGGTTTGAGTATTTTGGTTAGCCATCACAATTTTCCATCTTTTCTAGTCACTAAAAATCTGCAGTTTTTCTCTCCTTTTTTTTTTAATTAGTCCTCCAAAACCTATAAAAGACAAGAGAAATGGTTTATTAAGAGTAGTTTAGGCCTTTTTGCCAGCATTTTAGCCCAACCTCTTTGGGCCCCCCACCAGCCATTATTTATCCTTTGGCCTATAACGTCGATCAGCTGAACTTGTGGGGGTAACCATTAGAGTGGACCGCGAAACACTTAAAGGCCACTTAAGCCCGTGGACCCCTTCCTTCCATCACCCATCTCCATTACCTTTTGCTCTTAACTTATCAACATGGCTATTTTTTTTTATTCCCCCTTCTCCTGCATATTCCTTGGCTTGGCAAAGTTCTAGGTCGAAATTTTAGTTGCCAAAGGAACCCGCCATAAAAAACAAAGACAAAAAAAGAAGGGAACAGAGAGCAAAGTTTTTCAAACAGGCAACCAAAAGGGGAAGGAGAGAAGGAAGAGCAGCTTAAGATGAAATAAAAAGCGGCAGAAAATAACGATGTTGAAATCACTTTACTTACAAAATGCAATAATATGTACAATTTCGCCGACTTCACTCCACGGCAGACTATAAACATGCACTGGGAGAAAAGTTGGACAAGCTTTTAAGTTTTTAAACTTGAACTTTTAATAACTTTCTTAAAAATCCATTATAACTGAATTAATATTATTAGAAATTATGATTTATTTAACTTTTAATCACATTTTAGTTTAGTTTTTAAACTTTCCTAGATTCTTTGAGTGCAGCTTCTTGCCACTCCCACTCCACTCCCCCAACAGTGCAACATTAGTAACGTTTACAGGCTTTTGTTGCGCCTTCCCCTCAAACTTTAAACTTCAACTTCAAACTAGAGATGGTTAAGTGATGATTCCTTTAAGAAACTCCAATAAAATGAGAGTGAAATGAGCTATACTTCATAAGATATCACATTAACTACGAATATTTTGAATAATCTTAATAATATTAAGTAATATGAATATCGCCAGAAGTCCATCTCTAGCGATTACCCATTCTCCCAGCTAGTTCTTCGGCTTTACCTAGCTGTTGGTATGAAAAAAGCCAAAGGGCATATGTACAAGATATGCAAAATAGGAGAAAGGGAGATGGCAGATGGTTGGTGGGGGGGGGTAAAATGTAGGGAACAGAAAGAAGCGGTGAAAGAGATAGGGAAAGGAGAAGGAGCAGGAGAAGGTGAAGGAGAGAGCGTGGAGAAGAGCAAATTGAAAGCCAAAGCGGATTGCCATTACTTAGAAGCGCGTTTCAAGCTTCATTGAGCGCTCTGGAAAAGCGTGGGAGGAAAAGTGGGCTGGTAAAGGGGGCGGCAAGTGGGTGGGTGATGCCGATGTCGATGCCATTGCAGTTGTAATAAGCAATTCTTGCAACTAAAAGCCGACAGGCTATATGTCTAAAAAGAAGAAGAGAAAACCACCAGCCATTCTCAACACTCAGACACTGGGAAAGTGCTTAAAATTCACTTGAAAACTTAAAGTTTGTTTTTTTTTTAACAAATGTTTTGTTTGTAATGAAGTTACTATATTTTATAAATTTTTAGTAGCAATTATGATTAAAACCTATAATTTAATTCTACTAGAAACTTGATTTTGCACTTTAGAAATCGAAAACATTATGACAAGATGCTTTTCTGTCTAACTGAAATTCCGCTACTGGCTGCGTGTCTGGAGGAGAGGGAGGAGAGTGGAGAGTCTTGCAAGCTCCAACACCACCATCCACCCCCTTTAACCACTAGTCGTCAACCAACTTTGCTTTGTGCAAAAAGTCAAATGCGCTTATAACACTACACAATACCAAAAGCCGCAGTTTGAGTTCGAGCTGCTGGTGCTGCAAAGTCGAGTTTCAGTGATGCCTAACTATCTATATGCAGGGCTAGCTATTAATAGGGGAATTTAATATGAATTTAAAGCTAAAATTTAATAAATTATTGTTTTTGAAATATTTATCACTCATACGTCCTGTGGGCCTCAAAACATCTATCTTTCAATTACTGAAAATGGCTTAGCTTTGATTTAGAAAAATACAAATAAATATGAAATTAGTTAAAATCAAAATTATGTAAATTATTTCCACAATTTCCTACTCCTATATATAACCAAAATATGGCAACTACTTCTCTTAAAAAAACCTTTTCAAATTACAAAAAAAAATCCCGTAAAAAACCCACCAATTGGCCAGCTCTAGTGAACAGTTGAGGTTGCCCGCCATGGAGGACAGGGGGGGTCAGCTGGGGGTCACGGGGGTTAGAGTACGCCTGGCAGTGACAGCGATGGCGACAGTTGCACTGCAGACTGAGCTTACGACTGCCGGGCGACTAATTGGTTTACTTATGGCCTTTATTTTTTGCCAGTTGCAGTTGTTGGACCCGAAATGCCACCAACACTTTTTAAGCCATAATTGCGGGGGGATGATGGGGGTGCTGAAGGGGGTATACTGCTGCTGAAATGGAGGGGAACTCCCCCGCATTTCCTGCGACTCAATTTGCCAGGGTAACCAACCAGTCAAAGCAACAAAAAAAAAAAACAAAAATGAAAAATACAAAAAACTACAAAAATTACGAACCACACACGAGTTAACAATCAATTAGGGTCCGAGTTTCCTGCGCTGCTTTTTTTTCTTTTTCTTTTGTTCCCATGTTAACCCATGGTTAAACTTGCACTGAAAGGGGGTGGAGTAAAATCAGGGGGGGAGGGGCAACGTCTGAGCTTATGTTTGCATTCGCCTTTAACCGTTAACCAGTCGCCTTTCGCCTTTGACGAAACTCCTTGCCTGCCAGCAACAACATCAAGTGATTACTTATTTAAAAACTCCATTAGAACACGTTCAATTTTCAGGGTAGGGGGCCTTGTGGGGTTAAGGCTTAGGGTTAGGGCCTGCAAGGTGCCAGACATAAGCTTAGGATCCTTTTTCTATTGCTTTTAAGCCTATTTTACTGCTACATTCTACTCGTTTTTATACAACTTACTAACTGACAGTTGCCTTACAGTTTTGTCACTCGCTGTACTTTCCATAGCCAACTCATTTCCCATTTTCCCATTAACTTGGGCAAATACTATGTCATCATCAAACAAGCCAAGAACGAAGGAGTCTTCGCTGGCAGCTTCAGACTCAATTTGCCTGAATTTGGCCAATAAAGATTTTTGGCCCTACCACAAGTTTTTCAACTAGCTGAGATTGATTTCAGTCTTAATTAGATTGTATTTTGAAACCTAAGTTTATTAGAAAAGAAAGTGTTCTGCTCAAGATTGACTTTTTTTAACTTTTTTACATTGAATAAAAAATAAACTCAAAAATTATCAAAATGATTAACTTACAAATCACAAAACTGCAAATGCAGAGCAATAAAATAGCAACAAAAACAGCAAGTAAAACCAAAAATAAATTCAATTAAGCCCTGGAAACATTAAATTGATATTTGATATTAGTTTTCCTCTGGCCCGTGGACTATCTTATTAATCGCCGTTGCCATTCTGATGCGTTCGTTCGGCTTTGTATTTTATGCTGCCTCCTCGAGCTCAGAATTTTCTATTTGGCGATTTGGTTCGATGGGGTAGGGGGTGCGGGGCTAGATATCCAAGGGAGTGGGCTAAGAGGGGGGGTAAGGCAAACAGCTTTAGACACTTTAACACATTCCACTGGGAATGAATACTCCGTGGAAGAAGCCACTAGTGCACACACAGAGCCAGACATTTTAGTGGGCCTTCAGCATCGACATCGAAAAGTCTCGGACTTCGACTTGGATGGGGATAAAAAGAAGCACCGTAAAAAAATCGAATTAAATAAAAACTAAATCAGGGAAAACCTTTTAACAATAATCTATCATTAAAAGTTTATTTCTAATCACTGCCATTCATTTTTTAATATTTTCAAAACAAATTTGTTCTTTAAAACTGTTAGAAACTATGAACATTATTATTTATCTAATTTACTTATAAAAGATTTCTCACAGTGTCTTAGAGCCAAGAGAAACATTTAGACGACTTTCCAAGACCGGTTCTTTTGGCTCTATGAACTCGCCTTCGTCCGCCTCGTACTAACTAGAACTTGTGGCCAAAATAAAAGGCAAACATAAAGCAGCAGCAGCAGCAGCAAGGAAAAAATAATAAAAAAAAAAAGGCAAAACAGGGAAATGGTCAGCTAGTTGGCCAGTAGCACTTGGCCAACGGCCCTGTCCTTCTGCACCTTTCCGTTGGACGGATTTATTTTAGTTAATAAGCGAAATCAGCGAAGGGTCTCGCAAATAGCTGGCATTTTTCGGTTGCTTTAAAGTCTTTTTTACATGTTCTTAAAATGAAAACAAATTTAAGTTCAAATGTGAAGTCTTTGTTTTAAAAATTTGAATTTAAATTATATTTTTAAACATTTTTTTCTACTTTTTATAGGATTTTTCTCTTTTTTATGATCATATTTCATATATTTCTTGGAAAATATAATAAAATTTAAACATTCTTCATTGTTTTTCCCTTTTTTGATTGAAAACAAATAAAAAGTGTCAACTCAACGGGTTCCTTTTGGCAATTTCTTTGATTTTTTAGTTACTACATCTGAGGTTTAAGGACCTCCTTTTTTTAGCACCCCCTGCTGAAGCTGCCAAAACATTTCAACAGTTTAGCATTCGGATTTTGGCCACCTTTTCTTTTGACTTGATTTTTTGTTCTTTGTTTATTTGATTTTTTGCTACCTTTGTGCGTGGCGGTGGAGTCCTTTGATGATCGATCGACTTTTTAGAAGCAATCAGGCAGCCAGCCAGGAAATCAGAGGACCCGCCACTCCTACACTCGGCACCTTGTTGGCAAACTAATTAGATTCCCTCACAGTTTCCAGCTAATTGAAAGGTGAGGAGTGCGCTTGAACTCCTGTCAGTTAGCAAGTTTTGAGCTGTGGCTAGATTGGCAAGAAAAATTAACAGTTCGCAAAGAGATTTTCCAGACAGCCAATCATCGCAAAGTTTCGACAGTTAAAAAAAGATAAATTGTAATGATTTAACTTCATAAATGTTATATTCAAGTTCTTATTTAGCTGATGTTATAATTTATTCAAAAAACATTACACATTCAAAGCTCTTTTCAAAAAGCGGCGACGTCTGCATGTTCTTCATCTTAATTAAAAGGGATCCTAATGGCCGCGCATTAAACAAAGGATTTAGCTGACGGCAACGCGACAACATTTCAAGCCAATTGCTTGTTAGACAAAAGAGTCAACTTATTGTTGTTAAAATATAAAAATAGTGACTGCTGACAAAAGAGAGAACTCCCACTCAGAAACATTCACAGCACTGACATTTATTTATATTTCATAAAAGTGACTCAAAAGAGATATAAAAAGATGAATACAAGAAGAGTTTTTCAATTAAGCTTGAATTCAAATTCTGTTCATCAACTTTACCACTTTCTTTAACTGTTCTAATGATCTTAGACACATTTTTTTCGAAATACTTTCCTAAAACGGTGCTAATTTTTTTGGCGGCTTTTCAGTTTAGCGGTTTCTGCAGGTGGCAGATGCCACGTGACCGCAAATGTCCTGCAACACTCGTATCCTTCTTGGCAACTTCAAAAACCTGCACTTACGTTTTTCAGCGACGGCGATCGGTTGACAACGCCGAAAGTAAATTGAATTAACTCGAAACTAGTTTGGCACATAAACAAAAATCGCAAAAAAAAAAATACATATAACGAAAATTAACGGTAAACCGCACACACGCACACACAAAATTAAAATATATTATATTTCACTTTATTTTAATTCCTTTCCTTCGTTGCTTTGCGAAAAGAACTGTTAAAAATTGTGTAGTCCCTTTTTTTTCTCTGCTTTAGTTGTTGTTTCTGATCGCGGCTTAAAAACGACGCTCTTTGCAGGATTTGCGCTCTCTGCGAAAAGAGGTTTGAGGTTAAGGATAAGCAGAGGAGACGTCCTCTCGCGAGCAGCACCAAAATCCAACTGCGGCCGAATCCCACGGACGCAGCAACGTCGCCACGACGACGACGACGGCAGCGCCGCAAATGCAGTTCGCTTATCACAGGCGCGGCCGAGGCAATAGTGTTAAAGTTTTTAAATTTATACGCTTTACTATATTAATGATTCCGGAACCTTACTTTCTGGTAAGCTATATGTACAATTAGTAAATTACGTAATGTAATTTTAATTTATATTGCAGTTAAAGTGAAATTTGTTTAAGATTTTCAGCTACCATTTTATTGTTCGCTGCTGTACGCGTGAGTGCCTGGCGAATAGAGTGCAGAAGGAAAGGAACAAGAACTGCCAGCTGAAGCAAAACAAAAAGCAGCCACAACAACAACAATAAACTGATGCAGTGGAGCTTTAGTTGTAGAATGAGGAGAAGGAGAGCTCGAATTGGACTTCGGAGTTCCAATCAGACGAAAAGCAACTAGCGACGCGCGCGCTCTTGTCCGCTCTCTCTCTCTCATCGTCTGCCCCTCTATCCCCTTTTACTCTATCTTTTGCCATTACGTATAAGCCAAAAAACGTAAAACTCAAACCGGCATTTTGTTAAGCGCACGTTTGGGCCTGCAAAAAGAGGGATCAAAAGCAAGGGGAGAAAGACAGAGAGCAGAAAGGCAACAGAACAGGTGCGGATCAGATTCAAAACGGTGGTTTTACGTATTATTGCTTGTAGGTTTAAAACCCGGCTAAGTAGGCAATACATTTTTAAAAATTTGATCAACTTCTTAATATTAGCTAACATATTTGGTTATTACAAGTGAGTTGATTTTATTTTCATAGGAAAAAGTATGATAAAACAGGCATATCTCATTTTTTCATAAATCTTCAAGATTTAAGCATAAAAACAGCCTATTCCAAAGCCCAGTTATCTTAAAAGCTTCGCTAATGCTCACCCGCAAATCCGCTCCTGGAATTTTGCATTTTCGCGCGTGCAGCAGGCAGTGCAACAACAGCAACCCCATCGCCGCAGGAGAGTGCATAGTTATGTGACTGTGTGTGTAGGTGGATGTGTAAGTGCCAGTGTCTGCGTGAGGTTTGTTAGCTGCAGCTGGCAGCGAGCTTCCTACTTTATTACTGGTTTCCAACTTAATAAAATATGTGGAGCGCTTGATTTACTCTCAACAAGGATACTCTCAACAGTAGAAAGCAGTAGCGAAGCTAAGAAAGAGAGAGGATAAAGAGAGTGACTTTCTTCAGCCAGCTGTTTCGCAGAGCTTCTACCGTTGCTTTTTGTTTTTGCCGCGCATTCGCCGGCTGAGATCTCTCTTTCCCTTTCTCACTATCTATTCTCTTTCATCTGCCCCTCGCTCACTCGCACACCAGCTGTTGCTCCTTTAAGCGCCAGCGTGCCTAACTGTACTGTAAAAAATGTTGGGGCCTTGCAGATTTGAGGGAAAAATACTAAAAAATAATTAAATTAAAACACTATAAAGTATCTCTCAAACTACTAATTATCTCATCTTGACTCTTCTTCACATTCTATAAATATAAAAAGTGTCAAATAATCTAGAGGGCTTTTGGAACCAATTTCATGTTGACTAGTGTAAAAAGAACGTTAAAAAATTGATATTTAAAAATTCTGCAAGTGTAAGAACGGATTGCACTCTGCTGTGCTGTGTCTTGTAGTTTATTGCAATTTCTTATTAATAAGCGCCTTTTATGTGGAGCCGGGCGTTAGTGCCGTCCCAGGGGCGACATTAACGTTAATAATAATAAAATGTGTAATTGCATACAGCGAAGAAGAAGAAGAAGAAGCGGAGCTGGCTCCAAGAGGAGCAAGAAGAAGAAGTATAGCAGCTTCTTCTTTCAACCAGTTTCGCAGACGTCGTAAGGCCCATCTTTTACCCCAACTTCTTTGCCTTTTTTTGTTGTTTTTGTTTGCAGCCAGAGGTGTAAATCATTTTCTAATCGCAGCCAGCAGATCACATGCACACGAATCAACAAGCCAACTAATACATATATAGTCTATACATGCACATAGATACTGCAGACACACAGATGCTAGCACACATACACAAGGGGGGGGGAAACACAGTTGGACACTCGAGTGGACTTGACTTTTGTTTTTGGCACTGCATTTACTTTATGTTTACGTTGTCGAGCTAAAACTTTTCAGCTTTTTGGTTTAAGCCAAAAAAGACAATATTCCTGCTGTCGAGTGGGTAGAAAAAGGAGGGGGGGGGGGTATTTTGGGAAGGGGGCTGAACTGCAGCCAAAAGTCGAATGCAATCAAAGACCCAACGGAAACAGAAGCACTTGCCAGACTGTCAACGTCACCAGTGATGCAAAAGTGCCTAAAAGTGATCAGAAAAAGTGAAAAGCTTACATAAGAATAGGAAAAACTAAATTAAATAAGAAAAATCAATTGGAATCAAAATATTCTTTAGTTTTTAATATATATAAAAACTTTAAAATTCAAGAAAAACAAGCCAACAAACCAAAAGGACTTGAGCTAGCTCCTATATTTTCCTGTTACCAATGAAATATAGTATGTCTGGTGAGTTTTCCCTCCTGAAAACCATAAACTTTATTGCTGACATATGTGTACAATGCGCCCAAAGGATATAATTCAATAAACTCATCCAATGCCTTGTGGTCCTGGCATTTTCCAATCGAAACAGCTCGTAAAAATCTGTAAGAAATCTTCGGACTGATATGTCCTTCGTCTGGCTGGATGAAAAACTTTGGCGACTGGAAAACTTTCTCGTGGCGTTTTGTGTCTTAATTTCAGCATTATCCTGGCCATCTTAATTAAGCTGCCTGTCAGAGAAGGCGTCACGCCCACCGCCGTCTGCTCATTTGTTTGCCGCCATGTTTCGTGGGGTGTTTGGCATTTTTTTCTTTAGATTTTTCTTCTTTTTTTATTCTTTGTGTTGAAGCTACATACATAGTACACACTGTACAGAACTTCCGTTTCCGGTGAGTGTGGCACATTGCGTATCCGCAGGTCACATTTCAGCTATTGTCATGGTCTGGGCGAGGTTATTTGGTTGTTTTTTAACTTCCCCAACTTACTAAGTTTTTAATTTACTTATTAGGCAAACATTAGCTAGACTGAATACGAAATTAAGCTAGTATTTTCCTAGAATTAATATCTAAAAAAAAATTACGTATACGTCATGGGTCATCACTTTGGCTACCATTATCCGTAGCTCAATTTTAAGTGCCGATGCTTAAAAGGTTCTTTGGCAGGAAACTTAAAGCAAATCACCGGTGAAAAAGTGGGAATTGGCTGACAATAAACGGCCCACACCTTTCTCTCGGCCACCTCTTAATTGTTTAATTAGTTTTTTTTTAACAACTTGGCAACGGCCATCAAGTGAATCAAAGCGATTTCATTAGTTTTAGCACTTTTATGGGCCATTTTAGAAATGCAAATCGAAAATCAAGCACACAAGAGCTCTCAAACGGAATGCGGAAGAGAGTTTCTCTGTGTTTGTTTGTTTGTTTGTTCTTTTCCCCCTCTTTCTTTTTTGCCTCGTTTTCGGAAAGGGTGGAGCATGAGGTAGGGCAAAAGATTTGAAAATTTGTTTTCCCGTTTTTTTTAAGAGTATGCAAACAGCTCTCTCAACTCGCTTATTTCAATTAACTTTCCTAAATTTATTTATGCACGCGATGCATATGAAGAAAAAGGGAAGACTTTAAATTAAAAAATCTTATTTAAGCTGATTTAATATTAAAAAACTTGTAATAACAAGGAAAATCTAAAAATTATAAAGATTTTTACAAACCAACAGATTAAGTTTAGCAAGAGATAGTACTTGTTTTTTCCCAGTGTATGGCCATGTATGTGCTCTTATTTATTTGTGGGCGTGTGTGTGCATTGTCAACAAGGCCCGTTAGCAGTTAACAGGCACTAATTGTTTTTTGTTTTCTTTGGCTTACTGGCGCGGGCATCTTTTTATTTATTTTCTGATTGTTTATTATTTATTTTTGTTTATTTTTGCCTTTAAATTGTGCGCTGGTTTTTAATCCTTGCTGCCGGGGTCATAAAGCGATCGTTGCATCTTAATCCTAGCCATCCACACGCCTCCTTTTAACCAGTAGGAGAGTTAAAAAAGAAACACAAACTATGCGGCGGTTTCATTCACAGAAATATGCAAATGGTGGGGGTAGGGGGATGCAAGGGCAGTTGTAGTTGGGAAATCGTGCAAATTGAATGCGAGGCTGGTAAAACACACACACATACACACATCCATTCCTCGGAAAAGCGGAAAAGCAGACTTTGCTGCGTACTACTACGCGGCTTACAACTGCAATTACAACTGCGAAACACCCATGCTCCACCTGTTGGCCGTTCTCGTAGTCTTGTGTGCCTTCTCATTCGCGTTCCCTTTCTAGTACAAATCAGTGCTGTAATTACAGCTACTTAATAGGTATTTACTTTAGAGGGTTTAGCTATAGCTTATAATATTATAAATAATTATTTTAGGAGCTGCGAAAGTTACTTTTGTAAGTTTTCAGTGCTAAACTTATTGTTTTTTGAATGAATTTAATAATAATTTTGTTCCTAGTGCATAGTAAATCCCTTCCTTTAAGTTCAAGCCATAATTTTTGATCATTTTTTATTAACTTTCTTTATTAAAGTTTACCAAAAACTTAAAAATGCATACCCACAAACCTTTTTCCCTATATAATTCTCATGAAAATAGGCAAAATTTCATTTGTAAATTAAAAACATACATTTAGCCATTTTAATGGCCATTACTAGCCAACACTATCGGGAATTAACAATGAGCCAGCAACGATGTTAACTGAAAAATGCTTTTCGCCTTTGCTGAGCTGTGGCTGAATGCCGGGGATTTGGCAGTGGGTTTGGGTTTTCGGGGTTGGGAGCCACAGATGCAGTTGGAACTGAAGATGGGAGCTTTGCGGGTGGCTCGGCGGTTAGTTTACCATACCCTTCGCCTACCTTTTTTACCAACCACCAGCCAGTATGGTGCAGTGAACCCGCCGTGGCGCCGCTAAGTATGCAGCACAGAACTGAAGTTTAATTGGGAGCAAAACCCATCGAAACATTCCAGCGGCAGTCGAAAGTATTTCACTAGCGGATATTTCTTTATTGCTGGTGCACATATATATTATATATATCTGAGTAATACAATATAAAGATATTATTTTCAAAAAAAAATATATAAGTAAACTTTAAGGCAAGAGGCTATTTCGCAGCAGCTGGTGCAAGTTTATCTTTCTTGAGAGTTAGCATTATAAAATAATTGATTTAACGGGTTTTTGGATATTAATATATTAGTTTCTTCCGGATTAGTTATATTTTAGTTTATTAGAATTGTTTTTAGGTCGATTTTGTCTTGATTTTACATGCTAATTAGATATTTTTCATGCTCTTCTTTGATTTAAAAAAAATATTTTGATAGTTAAATATATTAAGATATTATTAATAAAAGAATTTACTGTCTTAACTTTAAGGCATATATTGCGAGTGATCATAAGTTGTCCAGGGAGTTTTCGTAGTATCTGTGTGTCCATAGCCTTGCAGGACCTTGGGTGTTTTATAATAGTTATTTGTGTAGTTAGTATAGTCCTGAAAAGGAAACATTTCAGAAATATATCTTCTTCTAAGGAAGTTAGTTTCGCCCGCAGACTAACCTTATCATGCCTTCTTTGATAACTGCCCAAGGGATTTGATCCCCCCAGAGTGTCCTCTGCTGGTTTTACCCTCACCACAGCCGAAGTGGGCATATCCTTAACCTTTGAATGGGACATCAAAGAGAGTTGTAGATCTATTTTAGGTGGTGGCTCCCGACGAATTTTCTCCTCGATTTCATAGAGTTCTTGCTGAAAGTGATCAATTTTTCTTAATAGAAATAATTGAAAAAACAAAAAGTTAACTTACTCGATTTTTATAGACCATGCAGCAGGCACGCAGGGTAAAGTAATAGATTATCTCCACACCGGAAAGCAAAGAAAAGCCAAGGAAAAGACTGGCAATACCGCCAAAGGACACCAGCAGATCCACCCAGCCGAAAAGTACCTCACGTTTGTAGCGGATAATGGGCCAGGTGAGGAACTCCACCAGCACACCTGAGGTATCAGCTTTATCGGACCTAATCAATAGGATACTTTTAGTTAGTAACTAAAGTGATGTCTATATGATATGATAACTAACAGTTTGATCAGCTTATCAATGTTGAAAACTGTTTTCGAACAGCTGAGCTCGCACTGCAGGCAGTCCTTGATGTTGGTGATGTTCGACTTAAACTCATCGAGGCAATCGAAATCTTTTACACTGCACATGGGTACATTAGCTGCAAAGATCATAAAAGATATATAGGAATTATAGTTATATAACCATAACGAAACCCACGTATTGGCTTGTAGAATGGCGGATTGCATTTGCATAGCTTTATGGCCTTGTTCATTCGACACTGTTTCATGCAGGAGGAGAAGGTATAGGCATCTGGAAAGTAGTTGAGTTTCACCTCGTCGCTGAAGATGCACTTCCTTTGGCCAATCGACAGCTGTCGAGCATCGTCCGTCGTATAGGTATTCTTCTTCGATATCCTCACTTCCACCAACTGTGGATCTGACCAATCGATATGTGCATTGAAATCTGCTCCGAAATATTCCTCATTGGAGAAAATGAAGATCTGTTAAGGGATTCAAGTTAGGAAAGGTCAAAGTACACTTTACAAGAACTTACACTCGAAGTGCTGTTTGGAATAAAGAAGAGCGCCCACTTCTTGTCCGTTTCGTAGAGATCATGAGGTGCCCCGGTCTTTATACTACAATACATAATGTAAATATAAACCCATTAAGGTCCAGATCAGTTCGCAATACTCACTCTTCAGTGGGCGTGGACTTGAATCGGCTATTGAAAGCATAGCAGAAGCCATGCTCTGTGTAAATGGGCTCAAAGTGTTCGCAACAGGGTATCTCCTCGTCGCGATACTTGCACGACACAAATGTGCTCTCGCAGCTGATGTGTCCCTCGAAGGCCCATTCCCGGATGGTGTGTTCATCCAGCAGATTCTGCGGTATCGACTGCGACAGTACCTTGGCATCCCGAATGCTCTCGAAGTTCAAGGATGTCAGCAGCCGCATGAACGGCGTGTACATTTGAGCCTGCGTCTCGTCGTAGTTACTAATCAAGGTAAAGACACAAAGTTTCATCATTTTTTGTTTTTCCATAACTTAGCCTAAGGAAATCTGCATTCAATGTTGAAAAAGTAATGTACTTTTTCCAATTTTTTCAAAAAATGCGAAAATGCTACCAAAAATTGATTTTTCAAATATTATCCCAAAAATAATAGGGCAAGTTAGTTTGTGTTAATTTAGACACAAAAAACCGCAAAAAATATTCAAATTGTTGGTGAAAAGTGAAAGTCCTACTTACGCCAGCGTTTTGTAGACCTTCTCATAGGTCTTATCGTGGTCAAAGGCAGCCTCCGGACAAACGACGGTTGTTGGGAAGACCACATTCTGGTTGTGAAAGTCCGTGTCCAGACCGGTAATAGTCGGATTGGTCTGGAACTTCTCCCAGAGGCTCATAATGATGACCAAAGCGGTGACGGCACCAATCGATGTGAAACAGAACCACATAAACTTCTCACCGATGGGTCGTCCCGTTTCGGCAATATAGCGTACGCCATGGAGCGTTGAGTTCTGGAAGAATTCCTTGGTCTGATAGATGAGGCTGCGTCGAAAGATGACCAACGTCTGGAGGCCACGCTGCCTCCTGGACTCCGACGGATGGCGTTTCTCTTGCGGCATTTCCGTTTCAGGAACATCGCTTGCCAACGCGGCACCGAATCGAATCTAAAATCGATGCCCTAGCATCCAAACCAAAGTCAACAATTAGACTGAATACTGAGGCATATTCTATATGGTAAGCCACCAAATCGATGCGTGGGTCATTAGTTGACCTGCGTGCTGTTACATTTGCAGGCCCTAAAAGGCTTTCATTGTTTATATAATGTCAACTTGCATGATTATTCATTTTGGGGGCAGTTAAAATGGGCTATCTTGATCTATATACCCTTAGAATAAATGTCATATCAACACTGATAAATATTATTATAAATTAAATAGATATTAAAAACTTTTCAACAACATCTTTGAAACTAAGAATACATCCAGCTAAGAAGATAAATTTATATCATAAATATTAAAAATCCACTCCTTTTCACTCCTTTGTAGTGTATTTAATGCTCGGTTTCATTCAAGTATTAGTCTTACCAACTTTACCTAACGACATCGACTAGATTAAGGTCAGGGATTTGGTCAAAAGTCATGCGCAATTGTGGGTTAGACCAGCTACCAAAATGCAGCTGCCTTGTATGGATTGATGGATGGATTGATGGATTGATGAATGGATGGCTGGTTAAATGGTTGGCTAATTGGTCGAGGCTGTCTGAACAGCTTCCGGCGCCGCCTTGCATTCCTTGCAAAAAATCGCATAAACGAATATATATATATATGTATATAGGGATTGGTTTAGCCACTCCAATGGAAGCCACTTCACTCCAAGGATCGGTGGAACTTCACAAGTTTTGTGTGAACTTCTGACACGGCCCAGACTCTCTTTGTTCGCTCTTTAACCCGCTCTTTCCCTTCCTTCATTTTTGTTTTTGTTTGTTTTTTTTGTTTATTTTAATCGTTAAGTGTTCTCAAGTTTCACAAAGAGTCCAGAAATGGGTTTTGGATTTTGGATTTTTCGGGTTTTCGCTTTTTTGGTTTTTGGTTTTTGGACTGGGGACGAACAAAAGAACTGCTGGAACGAGTTGACCCTGATGGCGGTGGTCAGATAATCGCAGCCACTGGCGCCAGTCGCTTGGACTCCTTTTTCCCTCCGCTTTTCCCTTTGCATTAACCCAAAGAAGTTTGAGTTTTGCATAAATTATATTGTTTAAGAAAACTACACAAACATACACATTGTTAGTCCTTGTTTTGTGTCAAGAAAGCTTTTATTTCTGACTATCTGAGCCTAATAACTAAGAAGTACGATTCTTGATAGATTTTGCACAAAAATAATACCTAAAATACATTTCTATATCTTTCCTGAATATTTACCAAGTTGTTTTGCAACTCTAAGAAGAAAACTGAGAGGCACATCTTGGGTTAAAGGAAATCCTAACGGACCCTAGCATAAATTATCCAACCCCAGGGATCTGCCAGTGCACCTGTAATGAGGAAAGGAAGAAGTAAAAAACAGGGGAAACATTTATAGGATACTAGCAAAGTTAGTAGCAGAAGCTACAATTTAACCTATAATATAAAAACTTAAAGAATTCTAACAAAATATCTGAAAATATTATTCCTCTAGGAGATATCCTTAACCATTACCTAACCAATTTGCCAAGATCCGAACCCACAATAAGCTGAAGCCACAAGAAATACTCCCAGAACCCACCAATACCCTTCTAAGCATTGTATAATCTTTGATACCAGGCTGGCTTTGCGACCCACTTATGGGCCAAAGCGCCCCCCTTAACTCCCGCTCCACCAAATCCCTTCCATATTGCCTCTCAATTTGTTTCGCTTTTAGTATTCTCCCTCGGTTCGGTTCCTTATCAGCGATCATTTGTCAAAGCCCTGCCATTGAAAAGTTGCCCGACCGCTGAGCGAAACGGCAATTGCAACAAATTTGTTCGCTACTCCTTTGGACCCGCTACCCCAGCCACATGCCACATGCCCCTGCCCCACCGCCTTCTGCTCCAGTTGACAAAAGAAGAGGAGCAGAAAATAAAAAGGAAAAAACAAGGAAAAGAAAATAGTCGCGACTTAAAAATACCTCGGAATGAGCCGGTTTTATGGAATATATACACGCAAAATCCTTAAAGATTTAGTGGCGCCATCTGTGATGGCCTTTTATAACTGCAGACTACAGACTGATTTCTGTAAAAAGGCCTAAAGTAGCTTAGAATCAAACTTGCAAAAAGGTATTTTAAAAGAAGAGAAGAGGTGGACGAGGGGGCACTATCTGTAACTGCGACTGCTGCGACTAAAAGCGAAATTACCGCAACAAATTGTGGCAGAGCAGCGCCGTAGAAAGCCATAAAAGCAATTACCATTAATCACACAAAAGGACGGACAGTGGAATGGACACCTGGACGCTGGGTAAGATCGCGGCTCAAAGGAACATTCTTCGCCACCGATCGATCTTGGATGCTCCTCGATGCAATGCAAAACGAGAAACTAAAAACCGCTCGGCACAGGTAACAAAATAATAATAATAAAAAAAAAAAACAGAAAACTAAAGTAAAATAAATGTTAAGAAAAGGAAAGCAAAAGACAAAAATGTTTATCGAAGCCAGTATATATACCCATAGATTCAGGGGATCCCCTCGACCAGGTCTCGTTTACTCTCAATTTCTTATTTATGAGAGTGCTCCCGACGATGGCAGCGCTGATTCTTGGCGTCCAAAGATCTTGGGTTACAGTGGGTATAGCCAACTTTCGTTGGGTATCTCTGACTACAGGATCAATTCAATAATACCCTATATAATCACATCCGATTATCCTTTTAATCCTCTATATTAATATTACAAAGTATTTGTCCTTAAGCATTAACCTTGAAAAGTTTAAAAACCAATCGTAAATTGTTCATTTTAATAGCAAGTTAACTGCAAGTTAAGTTTTGCATGTGAATCGCCAGTTAACGGCTATACTAGTAAACTCCATGTTAACCGTGTGCACTCCGCGGCTCTTGTAATTCCCAACAGGTTATACCACAAATGTTGTGACTAGGGCGCTGTTGGCCGGTGAAAAATCAGTCAAGTCATTTTTGTGTGTGTGTGTTTGTGTTTGTTCAGTGCTTCCAAGTGCCTCCAAGTGGTCCCATGGTAATCACCATCATATTGGTGGTACCTGGACATGGCCTCCATGGAGGATGCAGTGCACCATGGATTTTTTTGGGAGTACATATTCTGGACTTTTGATGACGTCTGATGCTGGATATAGATGACGATGCCAGGACTGGACTTCGGCAAACCGGAAATCAAGGTAGGTGGCAAATTTCTTTGATATTTTTACTGCATAAGCCGAGGGGTATAGTTGGTCCATAATCCGCATTTTTTCCAAACGGCTTGCATGTCGCCAATGCAATGTGGATCTTTTAAGAATAAGTTAAGTTAAGTTAACCTTGTCCGGCTGCGGCATCACTGCCAGATCCAGTCCATCGGGCCATAAGGATCAGGTACTGATCTGCTTTGGTTTTTCTCTATGAGAGCTACCATATAACTTAATAGTGAAACCGATTATTGAAACTAGCTAACCAGAATCTTATTAACTTCGGCATGTAATGCTCTGATCTTGCCTTGAACTCTCTAAACATAAATTGTACATTGATACTATCCTAAAAATAAATATTAAAATAAATTCTTTTTAGGGTCGAAGTCTTGGACCATTTAATTATCTTTTTGCCATTTCCGAAATGGAGCCTAACCCGTTGACTAACGGGCCGAAAACTTTTCTATTGACCTGTTTTACCTTTCCATCGTTATAAATATCAAGTTTAAATGGAAGTGTTCAAAGATGTTGTTTTGAAATATTTATATATATATAAAATCATCAAATCATCACATTATATTAAGTTCTCTTTGTTTAGCAGTGAATAAATTAGTAGCAAAAATTTCATGTTTTATTTGAATTGTTTTCCATGACTTTCAGTTTCATAATGTATAAAAAAAATAGCATACATGCGACTAACTTCGTAATGGGACAATGGTCGACACAGGGTAATTAAGTGGTAATTAAAACGGCAACTTCTCATCTATCAGTCGCTATTTCCTCCGCTTCCGCTTTCAGGACTGCTCCCGTTCCTGCTGCCAATCGGTGTGTCCACCTCGTTATAGGAGCGTTGATCGCGATATTGGCTAAACAATCCACGTACCTTGTTCAGTGGTGTTTGGAATGACGACGAGGATGTTAAAGCTGCAAAACTTAATATCGGCGATGAAGTTGCTGCGCTCACGGATTTGCCGGAATCGCCATTCAAGCTGGTTGAAACTTGAATACTAGCCGCGGACGGTGTACGCGGCAAACGTGGCGGCATTGGCGGCGTCGTTGGTCCAGAGCCGCGTCTTCCGGCTGCCGCTGAATTCAGCTTGGGCGTGGCAAGAAGCCGCTTGGGATGCAACGATGACTGGCTGTTGTGGTTAGCACTGGTTCCCGAATGCCACGGTTCTGACTTCTGAACCTTTACATTCCTCGGCGATGGGAAGCTGTAAGACATTAAGTTAGCCAACGCAATTCAATTAGATTATTGCTTCTCCACACTTACAGATTCATTTCAGCACTGGAGAAACTCTCCATGGCAGCTTTCCAAGCGTGGACGTGCGGCAACGTCTCCTTCTCAATGTCCACATTGGCAAGGGCGTTCAGCACGTCTAAATCGCGTTTCGTTGGCTCGTTTCTGCAAGATTAATACATTGAAAATATAACTTTATAACTATTATAACTTTTTGGAATCTTACCCAAATATAAACAAATTGTAGCGCGGCTCAAGGACAAAGGACGTGCGTGGCGACATGCTCTCCGGCGGCGTACGGAAGTTATCCTCATCCTCGCTGCTGCTTCCATACGGCGGCGAGAAATCAGAACAGTCGAACTTTAAGGGAAAACAGAGTAAGCTATTAAATAAGAAATTAGATGAACATCTGAAACTTACAAAGTTAACTTCCTCATCGCTTTCATCGTCTTCGTCGTCGCTTGGGTGACTACGCCAAGCAGTTTTCGAGACGGGTGATGCCACGACGGCCACCCTTGGTGATCCCAAGCTGGTTGGTCCCAGACTTAGAGAGGAGTGCAGAGTGGAGGATCCCGCTGTATCCTGACCCTGTAACTGTGACTCAGCGGCGGCCGCCCGCAGCGACTTCGTGCGCTTGCGTCTACTGGTCTTACGGCTGAGATTCGCGTCCCATAGACAGGCACATCCTTGCTCCGTCTCCCAGGCGGCTGAGCATAACTCTTCGGTCTTCAAAGTATCCGGCAGATGAACGGCAGTGGTCGGTGCCTGTTCCAGCATCAGCAGCAGGCTGCCGCACACGCAACTCAAATGCTGCTCCCGGCCGTGCTCGTCGGCCAAAAGTTTGCGCAATGACCGGAGCATCTGAAGGAGCTGCAGACGCATGGCGACGCTTACCTCCTGCGAATGGGTCACATAGCTGGCTACCAGGTGGGCGATACGAGAATGTACCTTGCTAAAGTCGACGCTAAAAAAGCGTGTATCGTCCTAGAAAGTTTACCAAATTTGTTATTTTTTTAAACACCATTGTTAATCCTATAAATGCTCACCTTAAAGCTGACTATCAGCGATTTCAGTCTTTTTAGCTCGCAAAGCAGCGTGTCATTAATAGACACCATGTTGCCGATTTTGTTGATCAACGTCTTCGTGATGCGTTTGGCGAATACCTGCAGCGACTTCTCCACGCATGTGTACGGAGTCATGACGCCGGCGGATGGTGTAGTTGATGCCGCAGTCGCATTCCTGTCCTTTCTGAGCTGCTGATCGCTAGCCATCAAATCAAAATACTGATGCAGATGGGCAAAGTTCCAGACCGTTTCCGACTTCTCTGCCTGCTGTTCGGACTTCTCCACAAAATACGCCTCCAGACGAGCCAGACCCTCGGTCGTGGACACATCTATAAAGGTGTCAAGAAAGTCCCAATACTCGCGCCACTCCAAACGTTCTTGGCGTGCCAGTTGGCGTCCCACCACCTCCAGACCCTTCTCAATATCCGAGTTCTTAATGTGACGCTCACGAAAACTGTCGTTTAGCGATGCATTCAGGCTCTGGTTCAGGCTGATGTCCATCAACTGAGAATCATCGGCCATCGAGGCCGAGTCGAAGCTATTGTTGTTGCGATATGCCATGAATAGGTCCGGTCTCATCTGGCGTATTGGAGTGGCCGGAAAGTCAAAGGCATAGGCAGGCTTCACATTATTGTTGTTATTCTCGCACTCATTATTGCCATTGGGCACGTTCGAAGAGCGCTTAGGTGAGCTGGTGGCCGCCGCCAGCGGACTAAATAACTCCCTGCGACCAGACTGCACAGGACTCGAGTTGCCAGTGCTGCGATTAAAGATTGACTTGTTTGGCGTTACCTTCACCGGTGAGCTGAATGGCGAGCTAATCAGCGAGTTAGACATCACATTGCTGTTGACACGGGGTGGTGTCTTCCAGCGGCGATAGAAATTCATAGCTTTTTCGCGGGACATGGGTCCCGCCAGCGCACAGATTGTCAGTTCACCGGTAAGACCCTCGCATTCATCTGTCTTGTGTTGCAGTTTCTGAAAAATACATCCATTAGTTCGTAACTCAATATTTCTTTCCTTATTACAATTTCTGGAAATGAAGCAGTAATAAGATTCTCACATGAAGCTTATTGTAACTTAAATCTTTCGCCATGAATCGATTTCTTAATGTAAACGATAATCCATAGGAAAATAACCGACATATGATAACCAGTTCCAAGAAATTCGAGGTTTAAGTTCTGGAAATGTACACTCACCGGCGGCTCTTTGGGCGAGAAGGGTTTGCCCACTTTTGGGGACAGTGTGTTTGTGGTGCATCTTAATACGGGCACAAAATGCGGATCACCCAAAAGCAGCTCCAGCTTTGTGATGGTGACCTGGCTGGCCTGGGCATTACGCTGACAAATAATCTGCAGAGAAGAAAACATATTAATATTATGCTATATGAGGGCTTCTAACCTAACTCATAACTCACTTCCTTGGGCGTCTTGCCCTCGTGATTTGGCAACGACTTGCATTCCGGATATGAAATAAGCACCTCGACCATGCCCACATGACCGTTCTTTGAGGCAAAGTGTAGAGGCGTTTCGCCACGCGCCTTGTCCGGCATATTCAGGTAGTAGTCTAGCAGACTGGTGGTTAGGGCGGCGCACATCTTACCGCTGCCCTTCTTTCCGGCATACAGCTGGGCAAATTCCCGATCCGATACGGTCTTAAGCAGCAACTGGGCGATCCTGGACTTATTAACCTGGGCGCAGATGTGCATGGCATTATAGCGACAGCCTTCCTTTAAGCTGGTCGGCGTATCGCCACTGCTGATCAAAAATCGTGGATTCTCCCATATAATCCTCTTGACACGTTCAATGTGACCACCTTCGATTTGCTTGCGAAACTCTACCAGTTCCTGTTTGGTGGGCGCCCGAAACGGAGGACGTTCTCCAAACAAATCCTGCTGCTGTTGTGGCTGCTGCTGATGTTGCTGGCGGCCATTGGCAATGCTGTTGCTGGTACTGCTTGGCGAGGATGTGGGCGAGCTGCTGAGTAATATACTGGACATTGAGGGACTGCTCCCTAAGGGAATGATGAAACCACTGCCGTTTCCCGTCGGCGAGGAGGAGTACGAACTGTCCGTGGAGCCAGGTGAGCTCTTATAACCTCCACCACCACTACTGCCTCCGCCGCTTATCGGAATGGGTTCTAAAAAATGGTAATAATATCTAGTTAAATAGATGACACATTTGACAAAGCAATTGTATTGAACTCACTGCTTTCGGGCTTGGCTTTGCCAAATCTTTTAAGAGCCTCGATGCTCTCGAAACCAAACTGAACATAACTCTCCGCCTGCTCCAGATTGGGGAATTCACGGAGGCGGGCCTCCTTATAGTGCCGCAGGACGTCCAGCGCCTTGGATTTCTCTGTAAAGATCAGCCAGAGTGGCGAGTCCGCTGTTCCGTCGTACCGTTGATAATGTTGATGATGATGTGTGGGCATCGAGAGGGATAAACCATTAATAAATGAGCTGGCTTTTTGGTCACGCCATCGGTGTTGGCAAATAGCGAACGAGTGGCGAATGACATACGAGTCGAGGAATGTGTTGAGCAAAACAAAATCAAAACCAAATACGAGGGGGCGTTAGGTGGTTAGTGGGTGTTGGGGCATATGCGTGTGACGCAGTTGTTGGCACAACGCCGGCAAAATTTTCCGAGGCCCTGCCTTATCAGAAGTATCATCAGTTTTGGTCTCAGATTGTCATAGATTTCAAAGATATGAACATGTACTTTTACCAGTTCGGAAAACTCACGCACAATCTTTAGATATTTTCACAATTATTTAATTTATTTTTCACAATCTTTAAAGACACTTTTCCTATGATCACTACTGGCTAACTAGCCCACTCACTTGTTGAATTTATAAAAAACAAAAGTTCATAAATTTAGAACGCAGCTGCGGCGTACAAACTTTTCAGATACTTTTTTCCCCCAAAATTACCTCTCGAAATTAGCGGGTATGCCATAATTAAATTTACTTTCAACTTCTCTTAATGTGCGAGCAAAACAGAAACATAAATAAAACTAGAGGAAAAAACACTTGGTGGTATGGTTCTAATCAAAGATCTGATAAAAAACACTTTACATATAGCATGTTCAACTATCAGCAAGATTGTGCGTATGGAAGTTCAAATAGTTAAGGCATAAAACATTTTTTATTTGAATAATTTGACACTAATTAGGGTTTTTTTTTTTATTTTATGAGCTAATTGCTGAAGTTTTCTGACAGCAAAGTTTTTATTTCTACACTGGGAACTAAAATATACAATTTTTAGGGTATTCCATAAGTCGACTAAATTCGATTTGACTTTTTGCTTTCTTGTTTTTTGCGATTTTGTTTTCTTTTTTCTGGGCAACGACTGTTGACTTGGGCCAAAAGACAGGGACAAGGGTGAGGGACTGGGACAAGAAACAGGGACAGACACAACCCACAATAACACAAGCCGGCAAAGCTGGGGGTATATAAATATTGGATCCGGGGACTCTAAAAGTACACGCACACACTTTTTTGAGGGTACTTGCTCTGCAGCTCATAGTATAAATAAAATTTCAACAAGAATAAGAGAGTTGGGGAAATACTGGCTAAACTACACAGTAGTGCTCACATAAATAGATGTTCCTTAAAATAGTATTAGGAAATTAGTGTTAACGTGGCTTTCAAGTTTATATTTAACGACAGAAAGAAAACGAATTTATTAATATTAAAAATCTCAGCTCAATTTAAATATATTCCAAAAGCATTATTGCAAATTAAAAAATAACCTATCATTTTGACCGGTGCTGTGTGACTTATGGAAAAAAAAAGAAGGGGAGAGCGCTGACAGGTCAAGGTCCTAGTAATGCATCCGTTTTGGGCATTGCCTGGAATGGGAATGGGGAATTGGATGGGGATGTGCATGTGGCAGTGGAATGAACTCGCCCCAATCGGTTATTGTTTTCGAATCGCATTTAATTGGATTAAAGAGAGAAAGAGATGCCGCCAGTGGGCGAGCGAGAGCGGGACAGTTGCATTTAATTAAGCAGGTAATTCCAATTGTTCACCATTTGTTTATAATTAAATCGAAAGACCGCTCCCAGACAAGGAAATCGACTGTGCGAGCGAGATAACTGCGATATGCAAGCTCTATGTTTTTGTTTTTATTTTTCTCAGAAGTTTTTTAAAAGCACAAGCATTGAAACTTCTTCATGGGCAGTTAGTCATGGCGCGAGTAACAGCGAAATGGAGAAATATTGAAATACGGAATTTTAAATACCTTGGAGATCTTCTGGTTAAATGTTCCTATTTACTACAAACAAGAAAGTTCTTGTCAAATGGAAAAGAAAGATCAACCCCTAATGCAACAGACAGACTGCAAGGGGTTAAAAATTAAACCGAACTACAAGTTCCTGCAAATTCTTAAACAGTTTCAAAACAAAAACAAAATCGAAGATATTTCTGAACACGAATATTCTTGTTGCTTGCCTCGGTAAGGTCCAACCACCTAATATATTATCTTAAGAGAATACTATTTAATATATTATATTCTTTCCACACGACTTACTACAAACCGACCTGCTAGCCGCACATGCCCCACAGATTACAGGCTATCACAATAGCAACAAGCGGCAAATAACTGGAACGCAACACATATACACACTCGCTCCATCTCGTTTCGACTTACGTGGATAATCGGGATCCTCGTATTTGGCCGCATTATCACCATCAGTGGTAGCCGATTGAAAGGACAACCCTGGACCGGGTGGTGTTGCGGAACCCGATGCCGGATTTAATGGCTTAATGTTAACCGCCGCTATGGAACCGATGCACTGCGCCGTCGATCCTTCAAAACAGCCCGCTTTGGAGGTCGGGATGTAGACCCCGAAATAGGTCGACATCTCTGCGAAAAATGGCGGATGGACTGCAAAGAAAACGGTAAAATATTCACAAAATATCACGAAATTCCAGGCAACTTTGCCCCGATTTGTTGTTGTTTTCGGCTGCACTTCCCACACACATACAAGCACAAAGACGCAAAAAAAAGTGGGCAAAAAAAAACGCGATTTCATTAGACTTGTAGAACGTCACCATTCGGCGGTATATCACTGAAACACGTCCTGATATTCTTACCTCTTACAACATGGAATTAAAAACATCAAACAACAACCAAAATCTTTAGGCGTCTTTCAAACAAAATGTGCACAAACCGAGTGAAGTTAGAGGTGGGCATTCACTAAACATAGGTGTGTGGAAACATCGATAGTACTATTGACTTTTTGACTTAAAATATCGATATAAAATACTTATAAGCTAGCATTCGTTTTTGAATTTCGCATTATAGTGAAATATCAAATCCGCGAAATGAGTTACATATCTTTTGTAAAAAGAAATGTATTACTACTATATTATTTTCCTTAAAACACGCACCATGTGGTTATGGCATATTGATAGAATGCGATTCTACCAAGACAAAATATTTGAATTCCCCGCCAATTATTAAGTGAAATTTTATATCTAAAAGCCTTGCCCATTTACTCATCTGTTAATTGTTATTTATATTATTTAGTTTTCTACTGTTTACAAACTAATTTTTACGTTTTTATTTACTAAGATTTATAATAAGTGGTTTGGGTCTGAATAGATATTTTTATTTGGTATTTTCTTGGTATATTAAGAAATCCCCCAATTTATGGAGGGATTTTTCTGTCATATTTGAACGGCCCGCCGACGGTTGCAAACATAACGTTCGTGAATTTCGAAGGGAAAAGCGGTTTTCTCGTGCGGTCTTCGCTTCTTTTTTTTAACGTGTATATGTGTTGTGTATGTTTGGCGTGCGGCTAACTTTGTTATACTTGTTGTTGTTCTAGTGCTGTTTTTGTTGTTGGTAACAACGTGCGGTGCGCGCCTTAATTAACAACAAAAAAAAGAATACCATTTTCGAGGAAAAGTTTATAAACAAAACACTAATTCTTCTTACCAAATTCTAAAAGGTTTGTTTTATGACTTAAGCTGACTTTTAGTTAATTAGCTGATTTTATTGTTTGTTTCCTTGGATTTTTTATTGTTGGTAGTTCAGGGATACACATACAGAGACAGCGAGGGTGTGTTTTCCTGCGTGTGGGTGTAGGTTTGTGCATGTGTTTGTGTGTGTTTTGAACCTGTCTCTTTTTCTTGGCTAAAAATCAATAAAATAAAGCAAAAGTCGAAACAACAAAAAGTGCAGGTCCTTTTTGTGTACATGTGGGTGTTTGTCTGCGCGTGTATGTGTTTGACTTTTCAATTTTTGGTTATTTGTTTTTGCTCAGCGAGCAGCTGCAATAACTAAATAAATAAAAGACCGTTAAACGAGGCTCACTTAGTTAGTCGAGCATGGCCAAAAAGCCCGAGTTGCCAATTGCCAATTAGAAGACCGAAAAAAAAAACAAACGAAAATACAGTGAGGCACGGCTAACGGTAATTAGGCGATTACCCCAATGGAAATTGCACCTGCATTAACCGTTCGTTTTTACAAACATTTCCCGTTTCAAATAGCCAAGTTAATTGCCACAATTTTAAGTACCTAATTGTTTTTGATTTTTCGCATTTCATTCATAACTAATAGTAAGCAATCCTTAAATTGTTTTGAGTTTAATTTAGGAATATTTCTTAAATGAGTTATTTGTTAGTTATTAAGCCAAACTTGTTTTTCATATTCTTTAGCTATTGTATAAAATACAATTTGTTATTTATTTCGAAACTTAAGTGATGATATTCTGGGAAAACCAATAATTCATCAAGAACCATATTCAAATTCTTTATCTTGACTTCCGGAAGTATTCAAATTTCCTTTACACGTTTTTCCCCAAACTTAAGAAATCCCTAATATGACTAATATCCAATGATTGCTAGCCCTAGAATGGTAAAAAGAAAACAATTATTTAACATAGTAAACACGAGTGATAAGAAAAGTTAGTTGGTTTAAGTTAGGAACCCATATCAAGTCTTTAATTTCATTGATTAACCGATATCGTACTTGTTTTATCTATCAACCGCTAGCCACTGTTGTTGGCCGCACTTTGGTGTTAAGTGATCTATGATAAAGTGAGTTAACCCCATAGAAAAAGCTGGGTAACAATAATCGCAAGACCCCATATTAATAGTAATGGCGATTTTATCTCTCCACCACTCGCCGTTTTGTTATGATTTTCTTTACAGTTAGCGAGCAGCTTACTGTTTTTTTTTATTATTATTACTTAGTTTTTTAATGCCTTTCTTAACTGGATTGGCAATTGCTGGCTGTATATATTAAATCATTTACACTTTGCCAGCTGCCATGCACTGATTCTGATATTGCCCCCCATTCCTCCGTTCCCTGTGTTTACCTCTTTTTTTTTTTTTTTTCCTTTTGTCTATATATTATAGTATACTATATTATCAGTTGTTGTGTTGTTTTATCTAATCGGAAAAGGGTGTGAAGATTCCTATAGCCCAATGAGTCATACAATACTTTGGCTCTTGCCATATTTATATCTGTATATATATCAAGTGCATTTCGGCTGGCTGTCAAGTCCAAGTGCAGCCTCAATTGGCTGATTAACATTTTGTTGTAGTGCCTAGTGCATAGTGCTTAGTGCCTACCTGACTAGCTATCTATCCTGCTCTGTTTCTACACCGCTTAAAGCCTCTCTTTCAACCCCGCTGCTTGCCTATAGAACGTTAAGTCGTTAAACCAGTTTATGACTGGCCGGGCATAGAGGCCATACGTTAAGTAAGTAGAATCAACAGACTCTGAATCAGCTGCGGATCTTACGGCCATAGCTACTGTGGCTGAGTTGGTTACCTGTAAAGAGCTTGCGGGTAAGGTGTATAAGTCAGAGGGTAACCTTATATTCGATCCTGTAAAAGTTTACACCCTTAGATTTCAAGATTTATCTAAGCTAGTGATATTAGTTTTGGGTTGCAAGTTCCTTATGATTCATATTAAGTCCCTTTAAGAGGTATTCTATCAAAGGGTATCTCCAAGTTGAAAAGCCCCATTAAAGCGTTCTTAATAGTATTTTCTTTGTTGCTTTTTAGAGGCTTGGAAAAAGAGCGGAAGAGAAAGGGGGGGGCAGAAGAGTATTCACTTTATATGGTTGGGGGAAGCGTGCCAGTTGCAACAACTTCCTCATGTGTGCGTTCAACGAGCGGCGGCCATAATCGCTTTTCACAAAAACAATAATAATTAAAATTAAATTTTCATTACCCCCCCGTCTCTCTCCCTTTCGGTAGCTTCAAATTATTCCCCCCTCGTTTCCTAACCAGATGTGTCACCTTTGTATGTTTGATTCTAGGCCCTGAACAAATTGAGATTATTTTAGTTTAAAAATTAAATATGATTTTTGAATTTGGGCCAATGTCAGATGAAGAGGGGGTGGGGGATATAACTGAAATAATTGAGCAAAAACAATAATCAGAAAGATGATTAAACATTGAGTGATCAATGGGGCAAGTGAATTGCCGGCGGCGAGGATGGAAGCCTCACTTCTCGAGTCTCGAGTTTCAAGCAACTTCTCAACAGCTGCGCCCGATATATTTACCTCTCTTACCGTTTTTTATTGCTGTATTTTCTGTATTATTATTTCATTTGCTTAGTGTGGCATATTTGTTTGGTGGTTAACTTACTTCACACTTCCTTGTTGTCTCGACTTTGAACTTGGCATCTTCTCGAATCTCGATGATCGAAGATCGTGGGGCTTTTGACCTTCCTGGCTAGCTGGGCTTTCTAGGATCGATTGAAGGTCACCTGCTCACCCGTTGACCCAAAACAATAATGGATGACTACCACGCAACAAACAAAAAGACAGAAGATAGATAATATAAGCAACTTGGGCATTCAACGGATTGCAAATGCAGCCACAATGGTGATAGTTTAGTTTATTGAACGCACAATAGGACTGAATGGAGCATGAACGTTGAATGTTTAGCCAATTCGAAAATTGTGTCAGCAATAACAGCATTCAAAATTCACGTGCCAAATGGCCCGAAATTAATTTGTATAATTCCCCAATATCGAATGTTGACGCAAATCAAGTCGCACGATCATAAAGTTTGTTTTTGGTTATGAAAGTTAGAATTTATGGCACTTTAGTTTTGATTTTTGTGGGGGAATAACTTTAAGGTTTATCAGTATTTTATTAACTTTAATATATGATAGCCTTCCATTCCCAAGCCACAAGAACTGCCTGTCACTTTTGGCCAAATTTCTTTCGACCCTTTTTGTGGGAAGACAATGTCAATGACGTTTTCTAGTTTTTTCTAGTTTTCGTCCAACGATGACGAGGGCGATCGCCAATGACTTGTCTTTCGGATGCCAAAAAACTTATGAACATCATTATGGGAACGTAGATGCCTTGAAATGCAGATTTAGATGCAGTTGCCGATGGCGTTGCCGTTGCAGTGGCCGTTGCAGTTAAACAAAATTTCATTGTCGTTGCTTTATTCATATATTTTTTGCATATTTCTTTTTCGTATTTGATTTTATTTTCTATAGTTTTTGTAGTAGTGGCTTTGTGAGAACAATGGGCATGGTTTGGTGTCTTCATCGAGGGCCCTCTGTCTGTTATCGATTGTGCTGCATAAATTACACGCTTTGTCACCTCGATTCGATTACAAATTTATGCAAATCGCGCTTTAATTTATTTAACAGCCACGATCCATCGATGATGGCAATTGTTCATCACAGTTCCAGCCAAGTGGGTGGCTATAGAAATACCTATACTCGTACTATAACGTAAATACGGTTTAACTATGATGTCACCGCCAGTGCATTCCGGGCCAGTACAGTGGAGCATAGTTTTTGATGACAATGGCTAATCGAAAGCACCGTTCACATGCAAAAATGCAATAATAATAGAGAGCAAAATCGTGCACAGCGGGAAATTGAGTTGGTTTTATTAGAAAATTGCAATGGATTTTGTTTAGAAATAAGTTGGAAAAAGATTAATTTATATAAAATTAACTAGTAACTAACTTTAACTTTCTCTAAAATCCCTTCAGCAACTGCCATTAGATTCAAATATTTTTTTCTCTGTGTAGCTGAAATAATTAGCTCACATACGTTTTCCACTCTAAGCATTTAATGAGGCCTCTAAGCTATTGTCTGGCCCCTGTACATCCCATAGTCCGTCCCCCCCCTGAATGTTGTGCAATTTGTTGTTAAACTGTCAATTCAATTGACGTTACTCATACGACCCGTGGTGCAGCGGATGTTTAGCGCAGCGAGAGATTCCCCCTCTATCTCTTTCTACCGTTAGCATTTCTATTTCTATGACAATTTACCACCCCTCCCGCTGACTAATTTCTGGCCCAACAAAGGCTAAAATGCGGAAAAGGTTTTTCGCAGCCTTAACTTTTGCCTTCGATGACCGAATGGTTGCATAAGAGATTTTCAATTTTAGATTTTCACCGGCTTTAATCAAGCTGTTTAAGACCCCACTGGGATATTTTAATTTAGTTTTTCTTTCGTCTCTTTGATGTTGTTGTGCCATAAATTTCCACCTCAAAAACAAAAAATTAAAACCTGGAGCCCAGCCAAGAAAATTAAAAAGAAAATTCAACGTAATCCATCTGGGGGAAAGTATAAATTTTCCTTAGAAAAAATACAAAAATCTCTTAATATAAATACTGCTTGTGTTTCATTTAAGAAGCGATGTATCTCACTTCGTAATCAATATGTTTTTTTTTTTAGATTACGTAAGGGTTTTCCAGTAGTCACCCAACGCTTTTCTTATATTCAAAAGGCAACCACAAGCGGAACGAGTTAAGTGTCGCTCCAGCGACTGTCTGTTTGTTTTTCTTATTATCTTAAGTTGCCTTTTGTTATGTTCTATGGTCTTTTTCTTTTAAGTGTAAATGAATCCTTGAGTCTGGTAACCTTTAATTAAGTTGTAATTATTAAAAAGGTCGCTTAAATCAGCTTTCTTTGTCGCTGCGGTGATGCAATTTGTTTATCAGAGGATTGCAGAATTATTTTCACCTTCAACTGTCTTTTTTAATACTTTTCAAAAGGTTTTTTGTGTACTTTTTTTTTGCGTTCGCTGTTTGTTTAGTGAGTCAACTGTCTGGGAGACAAAAAACAAGATTTTACATATATTCTTAGGCAGCGGAAATGCTTGGAAATGTGTCATCTATGGGTAAATTATATTGAAAAGTGAATGCATTTATTACTGAATATTTGCTTAGACTATATAAAAGATCTCCCATGACTGCTGGATTAATCTTAACTTAAGGAAACTCTTGTTTTTTCCTGTAAGGTACTAACTAGTTGTACTTCCTGTACCCTTTAGTGAGAGTCATTCCCCTCATAACATCCGCCTCGGAAACAGCAAAGAGGTGTTCGAGAGAGTTAAAGACGCAGAAAAAAACAGGAACTAAGGTATCTCCATTATAGTGAATAGCGCCTCCTCTCCTCCTCCTCCTCCTCCAATTATCTATATTTAAAATCATGTAACGCATTATGACTTCATGATATTAGACATGAGATGGCAAATTGATTAGCACAATTAATTGTAATTAATTACAAGGAGCCAGCTGCCAGCTGCCAACTGCCAACTGCCATTATGTCACCCCATCCAATCAATTTGGCCAACTTGTCTTTTGTTAACCTTTCATTGGCCCTTTTCTTATGCTATTTTTAACAAAAGGAAATGGCTTTTTAAGAGATCCATATTATATTATTATTAATTTTGTGTTAGGTTTTGTGTTTGGGAAAGTGGCGCCGCCTGCTGGCCAAGTAGTGCAATAAGCCGAAAGTAAAAGTGGGCTGCACTGCGGGGAATCGGGGGTATACTCGTATATGTACCTATATAAATGCGGCATTTGGCTATTGTCTGAAACGGTAGCGCGAGTGGAAAGGTTTTCCCCAAGCCCATTTGAATGGTAGTTAGGTGTGTGAAGATGCAATGTTTTCGGATCTCTTTGGTTCGGTTTTTGGTTAGATATACGTATATATATATATACATAAAGAGATATATCTTTCCACATGTGAGGCTCGCGTGCAATCATCAATAACCAGATTTCAATGCCAAGACCTCTTGCAGCCCCCCCAGAAAGTCATTAACATTAGTCAAAATGAAAGTTTTCCCAGCGGACAAATAGTAGCCTTGAGAACTTTACACTGCTAAAAATGTTTAAGATTAGAATGAGCAGGGTTTTCGTTTCAAAAACAATGCAGTTTTCCATCTACATACTTTAACTTTAACTAAGGAATGGAATTTATTTGCCTTTCAGTGTAGTTTTTAACTTTTAAGAATATGAATTCTTATCTTTGTTTACAGGAATTTGCTGTTTTAATTTAGCAACGTGCTTGCTTGTTTTGTTTTTAACACTCTTTCAACTTTAAAAATCATTTAATTTAATTTTTATAACTCCATCAAAAATGTATAAACATGTAATTTTTAATATTTTAGCGCAGTTACGTGCTTCTTTCGAGATTCAAGCGATATTCTTGATATCACAACACGTCCCAAAGGGTCAGAAATCAGAACGCAATAAGAAATGGTGAAAAATCTAGAGAAGGGCGAGGTGGTTCTTGGGGGCGGGTTCCAGTGACGTCAAAGCCTTTTGTGTCTGCCACATTTTACGTGATAAATACGTGATTAATTCGCGAATAGAACGCGCCGCGACCCCAGGCATTTGCATAATGAGGAAGAGTTTGATGGAAGGAAGGAGGAGGTGGAAAAGGGGTAGGGAACTTGGAACCACAATTATGCAATTTCCTGCCTAGCTCTAAGCACTTAATTATGGTTATTAAAAATTTGGCAAATAGTTTCTTCGCTTTTGTGTGCGGCCCAAACATTTGCACATAGTTAGCTTGAAACATCGGAATTGGCCATATCATTATGGTTAAAATATGTATAGATATATATATATATATATTTGTGGTGGCTCGGATGTGGCGTGCCAGCTTTTAGCTCTTAGCCAGATTTGCAAATCCGAAAACGAGTTGAATGAACGTTTGGCAGTGATGTTTTGACCATCATCGTCAGCCATCGGAAAGATGACAAGCTGAGAAATATGAAAACGGTAGGAAAACTGTAAGGAAAAGAGTGGTTTAATGTCTTTATAAGTTTAAGTTGCCAATTAAATTGGTTATTTAAGTGGCCAATAAAAGGGCCTGCAAACTTCATTTTAAACAAATAAGAACTTTAACAAGTTAATAAGCTATGAAAGTCCATAATAATTGATTAAATATTGGTCAGAGAGTTAGCTAACTTGTTGTTTATTCAGTTCATAGAGTGCAATCAGCGATTAGTGTACTATTCACTTATTAAACTAGTTCAGGCCATAAATTATTAAAGCCAAAGATAGGCCAGGTTAATTCTCCTGATGGACCTCCCCTTCTTTTGGGGTCAAAAGCCCTTTCCCTCCCCCCTCTTTATGGTAGTTCCTGTAGTTAAACCTTAGCAAACTTTCGATTGAATTTGACTTGGCCCAGTCTCTGGGGCAACTTAACTGGCGTTATCAACCGACGGGAATCGGTGTCAGCTAATCGCACCCACAACGAGCCGCACTGACCCCAATCGAGGAGCACCATTTGGCCATTCCAACCACGTTGTCGGTAAATGGAAAATGAAAATGAATATAGAAATAGAAATAGAAGGCAAACAAACTTAGAAGCCGAAACCAAAACAGAACAAGAAGCGCCAGTCCAAACATGGTCAGCGGAATTGGTTTGTCACTTTCTCAGCCGAAAGCCAAAGAAGCCCAGAAAACAGAAAACAGAACGCGTCATATGGGTGCGCCCTTCAAAAAGAGGAACAAAAACAAAAACTTACACACTCTTGGTCAGCACAATAGGTATACCAGTTAGCTAGTTCACTTACTTAAATTTAAAAAAAGTTGAATTAAACTTTACCGAATTATCAATGAGAGTACAGAAATTGTTTGGCAAGTTGTGAAAGGGTAAAGAGGTTAAATAATTGCATATAAAAATATGAAATTTATGCCATTTAATATACTTTGCTACTAATTAGCTTACCCCCGCTGTTCCAACGACGTCATTCGGCTGGGTTCTGAACCCAGCCCAGAGCACTTCACGTTACACTCGAGCACGTTCTTATCTCCATGAACTGCCTCGCATTGCATAAGCATAACAAAATCTTAAAAAATAATAATAATAACATAATCTGTGACTCAGAGCGGTGGGTTTTTAATTGTAATTAGCCAAAGCCAAGGCAAGTCTTTTGGCTTTTTCATTAACCAAAAAGCGAGACAGAAAGGCTAAACAAAAACGAAGCTACCTTACAGTGAAGATCAAAGGGGTAAGGGGGCGATATCTGGCAGAGATCAGCGGGCTTAGCCAGCCGAATCCGCAGTGGAGTGCAACTGAGTGTGTCCAAGTCAGCGGGGCATCCAAATCAGGGCAAAAATCTTCAAGATCCGAGAGGAATCTAGTTAATGTCCTTGAAAGATTAACTTGGTTAAAAGGTTGAAATTTTAATTATAATTTTTTTTTGTAATAATTAAAAGACATTTCTAACAATTTGATTTATTTACCTTGCAGTTGCAGCCGAAACAAAGAAGGAAGCTTAGGCAAATATTTACTGGGAAAACTCAGACCGCCGTCGAGGAGGAAATCCAAGTAGGAACGACCACAACTGTGAGTGCCAAGCGGGGGAAAATGAAAACAAACAAATCTGAAAATCATATGCAGAGGGGAGTCGCACTTACATATATATACGACTATATGCTTTATGGGAATATGGGAATGAGACTTCAGATTTTTGTGACCATATCCGGTTGCCAGTCGGCAGTCGACAATTGCATTTGCAGCTTCCATCAAAACAATAGGGGAAAAAAAAAAAGACTGCAAGACGAAAAGCGGAGCGAACTGAAAACGCAACTTGGTCTCTTAGGGCTCCATGGAAATCGCATCTTGGCATTCGGCATTGTTGCCCAGGCAGGGGGATCTTTATTTGTGGAAGTGTGGAAGATTTTTGAGGGGGAAATTGCGTAAAACGATGATAGGTGGAGCGATACTATCAGTAGAGGATGGGGAAATCAAAGGGTTAACAATCAATAAATTGTCTCAAAGGGTTGTAGGAAGTTGCTATAGAAAAAGTCCATTCATTTGCACATATTTCGATACAACCTGTAACCACTGATAAATTTGATTTATTATCAAATTAAAACAATGATTAGTGTGGCTTAAATTAGCCATTTGTACTTGGCTTTGGGTTTGGCTAATCTAATAACAAGGTTGACAAAATGATGTGGCCTTAACATTGGACAAATTGCTAATTCTATAATAAGTTAACCATTTCAGTCAGTCGTGTGTATCAGAAATTAAGTTAAGTGCTGTTTAAAATCTGTATTTTAAAGGGCTTACACCTATATCCCTAGCTAAACACACACATTATATACCTGCTATATAGCATATGCTTCCGTGTTAGTAACTCCTTTTCCTATATGCAATATATCTATCAGAGTTTCCATCAAAAAATAATATAACCCATAGAATTGATAGGGTTTCCACATGAAAACTTTTCTTTTCAACGCAATATATCGATAAAGTTCAGTCCAAAATCTGACATCCGAGTAGCCTTTGGGACTTTCAAAGTTAAAAGTCATTCGATTTGGCCTGAACTCGTCCCATTTCGGAAACCTCTGTCCAGGACTACACATACAAAATCGTTTTGAAAGCAAACATATTTTGTAACTAAAGTAGACTGTGCCATTTCCAAGATTGAATTTCATAGGATTCGTCGTGCCATATCTCTATTCAGTTTGGTATAACGCCTGATCAGGTCGACACACAAAAACTTTTGTAAATAAAATTCTAATCAAGATGCCACACAAGAAATTTCCTAGAATGTCGCAAGCGCAGCTAAAACTTTTGATTAAGAACCAAAATCAAAATTTGGAGAAACCGACGACTATACTCGAGCCGCCAAAGTTCATACAGCAGCCGCTGAAGAAGAAGAAGTGGCCAAAGACTGAGGCATCTATCACTCCTGGGCCAGCTGGTAGGGAAGAGCTGCAGCACGAGCCGTTGCAGCAGGAAGAGCTGCAGCAGGAGCCGCTGCAGCACGAGCCGCCGCACCCAGAGCTGCCTCAGCAAGAGCCGCATCAAGAGCAGACGCTGCAGCTTGAGATGCCGCATCCAGAATCGCAGAAGCCGCTGCACGAGAAGCCTCTGCAGGAGGAGCCGATGCAGCAAAAATCTCAGAAGCAGAGCAACAATAACGAGCAGCTGCCCCAGGTGAGCAACCACAAGCAGCCTGGCAGTTCCCAGCAGAAATACTACAACTTCTTGGAGGATACCAAGCAAGGACTTCTCAAGTTTCTGGATTTGGGCCAGCCAATCACTAAGAAGAATGATCCGGAAAAGCCAAAGAAATATCATACATCTGGATATAACCAGGACCGGAATCAGCCGACGGTATCTCCACAGCCATCCAATGAATGGCGGCGCAACAGCAGTCCGGATGATATCCAGAAGAAGCCAGGGCCCAGCACCTCATCGTCGGACAAATTCAATTGGCCAAATGGAGAGAAGATTCCATCCTATGAGAAGTTACGGCAAACTGCTTGGGAATTCTTCTCGTATCCTGCTTTTCAACCATCTGAGCCAGGGCCCGCGTCCACGGCCACCATAACACCCAAGATCCGGGGCGTTACTCAACCTCAATTGGCCACAACCATGGATGTGGTTTCACTGGGCTCAAGCCAGGCAACACCATTGGATCCCAGCGTCCTCAATATGGCCTTTGAGACCTTCTCGTTTATGGATATTTCAGAAAGAGAACACCAGCCCGGTGAGCCAAGCCGACCACGAGGATGCACTGTCTATGATGCGAATATGTCTGACCATATCCAATTGACACCGGAGCAGAAGATTCGCCTTCAAATAGCTGTTACCCAGAAGGATATTCCGCTGCAGGAAGCCCTTATGGCCATTGCCGAGGAGCTTCGCTCTGAGCATCTGAAGCCACCGCCGGCGGATGAGCCCCCCATTAAACAGCAATATCCATCATCGTCTTCGTCTTCAACTTATGCTGCTTCAACCTGTCCAACTTCATCTTATTCATCTTCAACTTATCCATCTACAGCCTATCCTTCCTCAACTTATTCTTCTTCGAGCTATCCTGCTTCAAGCTATACTTCTTCGAGATATCCTTCTTCAAGCTATCCATCCAATCTATCTTCTACCTATCCCCTATTAAGCTATCCATCTCCAAGCAATCTATCTTCAACGTATCCATCTTCAACCTATCCATCCTCAACCCATCCATCCTCAACCTATCCATCTTCAATCTATCCATCTTCAACTTATCTATCCTCAAGCCATCCATCTTCAAGTACTTCGGATAGCTACTTCAGTGGCGATCAAGTTCAGCCAGTGCAAGGAACCGCATCCCAGGCAGAGTACGGCTATACATCTCAGCCAGTGTATGTCCATCAATCCCAACATGGACATCGCTACCAGTCCCAGCCAGGGAATAGCTATCCACCTCAGTCAGAATATGGTTATCAATATCAGCCGAGCTATGGCTATCTGTCTACGCTGTCAGGCAATGACGATCACTTTGATGCTGGCTTTGACTCTCAGTCCTATCCCTACACTCAACCGACGGCCATGCCCGTGCCTTTGGATTTCAGCCGTCCACCGACTGGTTATCCGCAGCAGGAGGATCTCAGCGAGCAGATGGAACAGGCGGAGCTGGACTCAATGGCCATTTATATGTTTCCGGACTTAAATGCCAACCGTTCTAGTCGCTAGAGCTGTGAAAAACTGATGGAAAAAAGAAGTACTGTCGCAAAATATATCATTTTTGATAATAGCCACTATCACCGAAAGGAAAATTGATAGCATTGCCCCCCTATTTGGGGGTTTTGTAATGTAAACAACAGACACCTTGAATACAGCAGAATATATTTCATTTTTCATCTATTTATCAATAAAGGAATGTTTGTAATGTAGAAAATATTCTGTTAACTTCATAGGTGATTGAGTTTTTTAAGATCAAAAATAGTTTATGAAGCTAATCGAATAGGCTTTCGTTTTTAAGTAACAGAAAATTCAACTTAATAATCAAAAACAATCTCAACCAGAATGAAAACTGAAGAGTTATCTTGGAAATACCTATAGGAAAGCCATAAAAATTTCACTTTTCAGCCAACTCAGTAGAAGAAAGTGAAAAATATGCGAAAAAAAAATCAACTAAAAAACGAACAATTGAAATGGAGGGAAAAAACGAACTTGTCAGCGTCAATTGTTTGGCTGGCAGCAGTTTCGTTTTCTAATGTTACCAAATCAAAGTCTTTTAACGGAAATCAAATAAGATGAGTTGCCTTATAAACTGTAGTTATCAGTCTTTGCTTTACTTGAGTCAGCTCCCCCCCTCCCCCTTTATTATCTAATCAACTAGCTTAGCCTGTCGAATACTATCAACAAGTTAAGCAAATCAATTAATCTATTATATGATTTATGGATCTATATTATATATCCCACTCATATCAACTTGCTTTTTAAAGAAAGCTGGTCATCGAACGCTATTAATTAAACAAGTAGTTGGCGATTAAGTTAATAATGTAAGTGCAATAATAGTCATTAAAAGACGGACAGATAAGTGTCTGAACAATAACTCGATTTTAAGTTTGAGTTGCAAAACCGCACTTAATATTTATTGTACAATCTTTAAAGTTTAACTTCATTTCATAAAACAAGAAATGTTGTATTAATAACGTAAACCCTTTGAAGATAAGACAATTTGCAGTGGTGACACGCACGTTACTTGCCAGTGACCCCGATCTAAAGGCATTTGGGAAAGAAATTTCACTTTGTTCTGCGATGTGAGGGAGCCTTCACTTTCGATTTGCATACCGAAAATGAAGTTATTTGTTAGATAAGTGGCTAGGAGTTGGGAAAGAAGACAAAGAAAGCATTTCAAGTCGGTGAAAAGAAGTGAAATGCTGGAAAATTGCCACAGAGAAGCCGTTTAAATGGGTTACGACTGTGCCGAAAGTAACAATTGTTTGCTAATTTCAATAAATATACATTTATTTTAGCCACAATGAGAGGCATTCAGACGAGTGGATGAGATGAGATCACCTCAGTAGTATTCTATTTTAATCAGATATTAACTTTACTTTGTTCTCAGCCTATTAGATTTGCAATTTATTTACAAAGTAATTAAGGCAAGTTCCCATATTAAATGCAAATTTAGTTTGCATTTTAATTTATTTACAAAAATCTAGAATCTTCGCATTTTATTTCGTATCAATCGGGAGTCTGAAATAATGTCTGTGTTTCCAGATTGAAACTTTTGCGTGCCGCGAATAGAAAGTGAGCGTGAACTTTCCCACCCACTTTTCCCTTGCCGCCCAACGACGAACGTCGCACCGCCCTGCCCCGCCCCCTTGCATATAATTATTGCACTTTGCCATTTCAATTTCGCCTTTGTCGCCTGCACTTGAAGGTTGCCTTGTTTTTATTTTCTTTAATTTTTACCGAGTTCTCCCCGTCTTTTCCCTTTTTTTCCCCCTTTTTCGAAAGGGTATCTTGGCTTTCTCATGAGCTTTGTTAAGATTTTAGGGGATACAAAATACAAAAGTAATATATTTACTAACTAAAGTTATGATTACTTAATCTGATTGGCCTTTAAATGATGAATAAATCAGTTTTAAAGCTACTTTAATCCTGGTTCTTGTTGATAAAACTTAACTTTTATTAATGTTTAACATATATTAAGTTAATGTATTATTTTTTATATATTTTTTATACATTCCTTAACCCAAAACCACAAAAATATAGTGCCCAACCCAATCATATTTCAAACAATAATAATTGCAGTCACCCGAACTGGTTCTATTATTATGAAATCCAGTTACTAGCTTATCAAGATCGTAACTAACACAGAACGCTAGTCAGTCCAGTTAATCCATATTGAATATGAGTTTATAAAAAGCTATTGATTTATGTGCCTAACAAAGAAGATGAAATATAAATGTTAAAGTTAATTGAAAAGGGGAAAAGAGTATCTGAGAGAAGGCAACAGGCAAAACTGTCTATTTCCCTGGGTGTTTTCTTTGTGGCAGGGCAGGGCTTAATTGCAATGTGGAGGCACTTGCTCCAGTTTTGTGGGCATATGAAAGTGCATTTGGTTTTTTCTCCAACGTTTTCTTTGCCTTTGTGGCATGGTATTATGAAATGGTCTGCATACAGGGCCCAGGGCCTTGAGTCCAATTTGAAAAGGCGGCCCACTGATGGCAGATATGCCAGACACTACAGCTATGTTCACAAATCTAGTAATTCGAAGGGAATGTTAAGGAAAAAAACAAGCTTGCAATAGTGTTAGGAAAAAGAAAAGTCATATTTTGTATGCAGTTTGAGTTACTTTTCTTTGTGCGAAGTTTAAATCGTTTTAGTAACCTATTAAAACGTGATTTTTCTCCACATTCGTTGCTTGTTAAAACGTAAAACTATCTACTAATGAAACTGGCTTAAAGGGTTTTAGTTTTCTTTTGTTTTTTTTCCACAAACACAACGACTATTATATCGTCTTGATCTGTATAATGAGGTGCATCGGTCTTTAAGCCGGCTGCTGGGCAAATTGTTTAACGATGCTGATGAGATTTGCATATAGCATATATACTATAGGGTATATACCCCCCTATACCATAGCCATACCCATAGCATATTTCCCCTTTGGGGTTTTTGGTTTTCTGCTTGTTGTTTTTGCTGTTTCGAAGCTCAAGTCTGGTATGGATGTCATTCGTTATGGTTCGCAGAACTTCTCTGCATTGGCCGCCTCGCTTTTGGCTTTGTTTACAATAAATCCGGCGGGCTTTAAACAATTGCTGTTTTGTTTTTATGGCCCCATCGAATTACCATGGAGCATAAAGCATAAAAACCAGGCGACGAAATGCCTTTTCTGACCTTTAACGCCTGATGTCATGTACATGGCTTGTCATAACTGGCGTATGCGTAATATTGCAGGTGAACTTTCTTGGCAGCCAACTAATTTCTATAAAGATAGAGATATATGTAGAGACTAGACTAGAGCGGAGAACACAACTCAAACAAGGCGATTAACCCAAATAAATGCGTAAAATACGTTTAACAAATTCTCGGTTCTCGGTTCTCAGTTCTCGATTCGTTTTTAGCACAAGCAAATGTACGTGCCACACAAATTGTGAATTAGGCCGGGCTTTAAGTTGTGCTTTTCGGCTCTCGGAATTGCCAAAAGTTTGTGTATAACCAAAAAAAACAACAACAACATACCCAGCAGCTAACACTAAATTGGTATTTTCACAGCCGCCCAAAATTGAAATGCTAATTTTTTCCTCTTTCTCAACTACCTTTAGGTTAGTTAGGGTATATTAGGCCTAAGAGAGGTTTGGGAAGGTTTTTAAGTTTTTTGAAGTTTACAAAATGTATATTAAAGTCTGTTTTAGATATAGTTAAGCTATATAAGTTAGCAAACCGATTTGTATTTATCTTCTTGCTAAGTATCGCCGTGTCGTTCCCATTTAAACGCCATTCGCTGTCTTTATTTGTATTGCCAGTTGGCCAGAACAAAGCGGCAAAACAATTAAGAGCAAGCACGAGAGGTTCGAAGTGCTGGCCCATACAGTCATAGCCATTTAAGACAGTTACATCTTTTTTTTTTTGCGTGGGCCGAAACTTGAAATGGTATTAACAAGAAAAAAAAAAGGGATGGGCCGGGGCTGGAAATAATCATTGGAAGATGCGACTAAAGAGGCCTTTTGTTTTTATTTCACAAGTCGTCGACCTTCAGTGGGTGGATAGTTACACCGAGAAAATATATATAAAACCGATATGGTAAATATATAATCTCAAGTGAGTTTGAATCTATATCTGTGGGTTGGTTAACGATAATATGGGAAACCATAAATATAAAGTCATATAAATAGCATTAAAGAGTCTTTTTGTTCAGTGTAGGCTGAGGATGAGTGGATGGCACCCAGAAATGCCCCAAAATGGCAACTCCTCTGGTGGCGGGACAAGGCGACTAAACCCGTTTCCCAGAACATATATAAAAACGTATTTCGAAAATGCGATTTCGATGACTTCATCGAGAGCTCCATCTACCCTGAATGCCAATTGTTTACCCCCAAAAACCACTGACTCATCCACTCTTTCTCTTCCCCATCTCTTCCAGCGTTTGGGAGCAGTCGTCGCAAGATCACAGAACGGGACGCATCATGACTTTCTACTGGTGGTCACACTGGTTCTGGATAACCCTCATCCTAAGTGGTAATATATCAATACTTGATCTAATATTCAAGTAGGTCAACAGTACCTTAATCCATTAACACCTTTTTTTTTTGGATTTCATTTCCCCGGCAGTTAACTTGCTGTCCAGCCATGTCCACACATATCCCAGCCAGGAGGCCGAGTCACTGGCCTCCAGTCCACATCCGCAGCCCGTGCGAACCACTAAACTTTACCAGACGACGGTGACCCAGACCTGGGGCACAGCCACCCAGAGCAACATCATGGACCTGACCCACCGACCCACCACCAGCAGGCCGTTGGTGACTCCCAGCTATGATGGTGGCCCTGCAGTGTCGCAGGTCGAAGATGTTGACCAGGCGGTGGAGCTGAAGGAGGAAGAGATGCCGCTCAATGATCGTGAGGAGGAGCAGGATGAAAATCCGGAAGCAGATCAAGAGCGGGAGCCGGATGAGGCAGTTTCAGATTCAGATCCAGATGCGGATGCTGAAACCGAGGAAGCTGCTGCCAATGAGGAGCTGGCCCAGTTCGAGTTCAAGCGATCGGCGGACTTTACCTCCGATCAGCTGAATAACTTTACGAATTTCAGCAGTAGTACTAGGTGAGTTTGCTAAAAATAATATTAATAATAAAAGGAAATATTTAATATTAAAATCCAATTTTAACCGGAAAGAAAATTTCTTAAATTTTGACCAAAAAAGAGCCTTTTTTCCTGTTAAAATCTCTATAAAACAGCCAAAAATTATTTTATTTTAATGGGAATAGTATTTTCTTAAATGTTTTTAACCAAAGAAAAAAGTTGCTTACCAGTTTTATCAAATTTCTGGAAAAAAAATTTCTCAAAATTTTGAAAATTCTGTAAGGGGTACCCCTTGCCTAAAATGCAACATTTTGAAAAAAAAAATTAGTCTTTGAAAAATGACATACTTTCAATGCAATTTTATTGATTTTGTAATTCTGATCATAAAAAAGTTTAGTTCTTAAAAATCGGACAACCCAGAGGCAACTTACAAGTTTTGGAAGGGAGAGAAAAGGTCGTTTTTAGGTACCCTAAAGATTAATCTTAAAAATAAATGTAATTCGATATATATATCCACGATTATTAACCTCCTTGCAAACCTCATCTCTCCCTCGAATCAGTACAAATGACAGCATCAGCAGCAGCAATAGCACCACCACAAAACCCGTTCCAATCAGCAGCAATAGTCCGGCCACAACGACAACAAGAAGCACCACCAAAGCGGTGGCAATATCCTCGACCACTGCAACGACACCGCGAACCGGAGGCAGTGCCACCCTATCCACTCCAGCTGGTTCTGCGGCTACACCATCGACACCCAAAATAAATACTGAGTGGTTGTCTGATGAGCTCCTGGCGGGTGCAGCAGGTGGAGCGGGGTCAGGAGGAGTAACGAACGATGGCGACGGGGAAAAGGCACCATTCACCCTGGAAAATGCCAACAAGGAGGATGAACTTAGACGTGCCGAGAGCGAGCATAGGTCACGCAAATCCAAAGTTCTTTCCGCAGAGTACAAGCACATCAATCGCTATATTAACTTCTCCAGCGACACGAAGAGTCTACTGACCCGATCAGCCTCCGCGGCGCCCAGCGTGGCAGGTGGCGCGGCCGGATCTGGGTTCTACGATGGAACCATTGGGGATGAGGGAAATATCTCTTCCGAGGCTCTGGCCATTCAGGTGAGTTGAAGGTTTATTTATCTAAACTAAACATTAATTTTGATCTTTTCCTTCCTTTTAGCGAACTTATTTCCTGGATGCTGGCGCAATCTCAGCGATTTGCTTCACTGTCTTCGGAATATGCTGCACGGTGGGCACCATTGGGATCGTACTGTACCGCCGTCGGTATCTGAATAAGCCGCAGGCTTTGAGTGAACCGGACTCGAGTGTCTATATCGATGATAGCACCATGCGGGTGAGTGTAAGGATTCGTTGACCAATTACCACGGGATCCAGAATTTCGTATGCACTAAAAATAGTTTTCCCATTCGATTTTGCAGGACAATTCGGATGAGATGTACAGTTTGGACAACGACTCGTTTCTCAATTCGCTGGAGGCGATGACAATACAGAACTATTGGACGGATACGGTCAAACATACAAAGCTTTAATTTCCGGCCTCTCCAGTTGGAAGTGTATACCCCCATCCCCCCAAATTCCTTCCCATTCCATATCATTTTGATTCGTTTTTTTTTTTTAGTTTCATCTCAATATCGTTTCGTTCTGTTTTGGATGGAATTGCATTCCTGATTTCAAAAACAGACATCATAATCATTAAGTAGCGTAGTTTTTAAGCGCGTGTATGTATTTACTAATGTTAGGCAACCAAAACGAGCAACTAGTTTAAGCCCAAACTACCAAAATTATGTTTAGTGTACGTGTTAGATTTTAAGTGCGCAATGTTTTTTGTTGGTCTTGGCTGTTAGTTAAAGCCCTTCCAACAACCTTTTCCCACTTTATTCCAGCCCAAATCCCAGCTCTCTTGACAAACCCAATTGTACTCGTATCTGTTAGTTAATTATTAATTCTTATTTATATTGTTGACTATTTTATCGCCACCTTCCCCTTAATAGCCCCACTCCCAACCAAATCTCTCCCAAGCCTAATTTTAATAACAGCTATTTATTAAGTTTCCAACCTTGTGTGTCCAACAATTAAACGCAATCATTCCTTCCAGTTTAGCCTATAGAGCAACTTTACACTGTAATTACTGTATTTAAAGCGAAGCAAGCAAACAACAATTAAATGAAAACATCACACATGAACACTGGTGTTGCTAGAATTTTGGTGAAAATAAAAGGATAATATTAAAAGCTTTTGGGCTTTGTTGGGGAAACCCCTTTTACTATCACCAAAACTCTGGCAACACTGCATTCAATTGTTTCAATATATATACATATTTATCAATGAAGTATAAGCTAACGAAGAACAAGAAAAACTGTTTACTGCCACACAATCCTTGTCAATTTTGCTCATCGAACTTTTATACACCACTTGTACTTGTATTATCCGTTCGAATGTTGCAAATATTAAACGAAAAACAAAACAGATGGTACATTAATCATTAAATGCTAAACCGAAATAATTTGAAAAGCTGTTATCCATTGGCGTGGCCAGATTGTTGGGGAAAATTGTATACGCAATCAGTGTTGGGAAAGCAACGGATCTAAGATCAGAAATTTGATTAGTAAAACGTGTTCGACAGGTGTTATATTTTTATAAAGGATTTGGTTAAAGCAAAGGTAAGTTCTGTAAATAATATAAATATTTAAAATTTAAACAATTTTTTTCAAGTAAAAGACTAACCCTTAGAATTCCAAGAATACAAAAATGAACGCTACATTAAATTCAAAAAAATTACAATAAACTTATAATATTTTTACCTTTTCCCTGGATTCGTTTCAAATAATTTTAAAAGGGTACCCATTTTAGGTACAAAATACACTGCACCACTGTTCAACACTAAACTGAAGAGTTATCGATAGACTTTCGGCTATTGATGGCTCGCTAAGACTATCTAAATTGCTGTCAATCGCTGTGCGCCAATCGAGTTGCTGAAGGAGTGCAATAAATATGAATTAAATGGTAAATATAAAACCGCGACAGGTGTTAATTTCCGTATTTATACGCACGTGCCGTATTATTGCTGCCGCTGTTGCAGTTGCTTATGCCGCGGATCAAATGTTGTTGCAAGAGTCCTGTTCTTCGTGTGCTTGTGTTGTTGTGCGGCGGGTGTATATGTGTGTTGTGTTGTGCGGTTCTCCCCTACCCCCACCATAAAAAAAAGGAGCTGCGAAAAAAAAACACGGCAAATCTATTGATTTTTAACAATACGCACATGGATAGACACACATAACGGTAACACGGGGAGTTTGGTTTTTCCCACGCCTGCAAAGTGTTGAGCGATTGCAACAATCGGCGACAACAAAGGGGCACCACCCACCTCCCCCACTCATCACTCCCCACTACTTCATCATGTGTATGTGTGTGGGTGGTTGTTGTGTCTAGCTGCAGCTTCCTGCGTTTGTTTTGCCTGCGCGAGGACTTTTGGAGGCCAAGTTTACGTGTGCGCAATCAAGCACGGACACAGGGGAACTCAGGAACTCTGTAACTGGCACTCGGTTGCCCAGCAAGAGGAATCCCCACATATGTATAGACAGGCAATAGTGGGTTAATTGCCAGCATTGATTTCGTTTGCCTCAACAACAACAGGGGTCACCAAAAAAAAACTGGAGGTTACCACACCATCAGTCCCCTCTGGGAAACAATAGTGTACTGTATATATATATATATATTTATATATATAATGATTGGGAATACCTAAATAGGTTAAATCAGACAAAACAGACTGATATAATACATATATGAATGTGATTAGGACAACTTATCCAATGGGATTTACACAAAAAGTGATATAATGGTTAACTCTTGGTTCAGAGATGTTAATCCTCCAGAAATATTCATTCCTAGCAAACTTGTAAGCCTCATTATTAAATATTTTAAATCAACAAGGTTGACAAACTATCCCTAGTGAATACAACACGCTATAACCATAACTACATACGTCACCTGTCCCTGACTTTTTGCTCGGCTCAGCTGCAGTGGTGTGATTCATTGCCGCCTTAGATCATCGACTAATCACCCATTCTCCTCCAGGCAGTGGCCCACAGTGAGGCAGCAATCGCAGCAGCAGCAGCAGCGAATGCAGCAGCAGCAACACTAATACAGTAGTAGCCATCCAAGCCGCGCAGTCCCACGTCCCCGGAGATCCCCAGTTGTTGGCCCAGCCATGAACTCCAACTCCTGCAGCGACAGTAGTAACGAGTCCATGGTCAATCCGGCGCATATTCAGATGAACTTTGGCCAGCCGACGCAGCAGCAGCAACAGCAATCGCATCAGCAGGGACAGCAACACCAGCAGCAGCAGGAGCGATATGTATGGGAGATGCGAACCCGTAGTCCAAATGTAACGCCAGCCAGCACGGTGCTCAATTCGCCGGATCTCAATGCCGAGCTGTCCTATGTCCCGCTACAGGGTCTTTCACCATCCGGTGGAAGTGGTCAGGTGCCCGGCGGTTATGGTGTAAATTCTGGCCGAGATTCCGGCGGCTATTACTACCAGCGTCCTCATCTGCATCAGATACGGCTGGGCAGGAGTCCGGGCAGCCAGTTCGAGTCCCGGGATGTTCTGCCACAGGTGAGTTGACTGTCTAAGAAAACTGTGAAAAAAACTTCAAGCCTACTATAATGGTATTTTTCAACATTTTCTTCAAGGGATTGGCCAGTCCTGGCTCGCCAACGGATGTGGGCAAGGCGGACGGTCAATGTCTGCGGGATGGTGAGATTGTGGTGTTCGACGACATCGACACCAATTGGATGAACAAGGCATCAAGTGGCCAGCGTCCGGGAAGTAACGAGGATGTCCTTAAAGTGACCAAGATGATTGGCCAGCTGCCAATTGCCGAATATGAGGGATCACCGCGACGATTTGGCAGTCAGCCGAACACAAACACGATTACCTTGGGTGGTCCACGAAAACGTCCGCCGGGATTCCCGCAAAGGGTTTCACCTACAACGAGTGCCGGTGGCAATAATGCAACCGCCTCGGCCAAGGCATCTGTAGGCAACCTTATCGATCTGATCGATCACGAGGATGAGCGTTCGGGGACGCTACGTGAGAAGACCCCGACTTTCGATTACCTGTACGAGTTTTCGGAGACCAGGAAAGTTTTAGAAGAATTCTTCAAGGCGAATCCGGAGGACGAGAAGCGATACACGGACTACACCACGGAAAGTGGTGACGATGTGGCCAGTTCGGTAAGTAATATCTCTACTTTGAATTGGCTTAAAAACCATTTAAAATCGTTTCCTTTTGTCAGCAGCAACAGGAGTACCCAGCGACGCCCATGGAACAGGCATACATTGGCCAGCGGCTGGCGAGAATACCCAAAGATGAGCTCTACATGGTGCACCGCTCCCCCATCAAGAAGCCAGTAAGTCATTGTAAAATGAAAGCTATTATATCTGCTAATATAACTTCCATTTTTAGCCCAGTGACCAGAATGCATCGTCGACCTACCAGGAGCACAATGACATCGAGCTCTATATTGATTCGAATAGTCGTAGCAGTGGTGATTTGGCAGACACCGAGTTGGAGGCCAATTTACGGCGGCATTCGCGGAATTTTACCCTTTCGCCTGAGACGACGGACTACGATTCGAACTGTGGCGACCTGGACAGCCTGTCCAACGACATCAACTGTCCAACGGATTATGGGAAACTGTATACGAGCATGCCAGTTCTGGAAGATGGCCTAAGCAGTGGCCATGCCTCCGATACAGAAAACAATGTTTCTGTGGTGTGTGACAAGCAACAGTCGTCCCAATCGCAGCCCGTCCACGAGCACAACGGTAATGGTGAGCGGCATGAAAACGATTACAATGTTATGAGTGCCAGCATGGCCACGTTGACGACAGATGCCTCGCAATCGGCACTGATAAGCGACTTTGCCTCGCTGCCCATGCCCCCGGCTCCACCACCATCATCACCGCCACAAATCGAAATCGCCGATGCCACTGAATCCATGGCAATCGCAGCAGATGCTGAAAATCCCTTGGACAGTCACTACGGTGCAGTTTATGCAGCAGCTATGGGAGGAGGTTCCGTAACAGAAAAGTCAGGTGGATCAGGTTTAGGTGTGACTTCAGGGACTGCAGGAGGATCTCTGCCATCGCAGGCTGCTTCGGAAATTCAAGAAGCCATGAAGGAGATCCGTTCCGCCTTGCAGAGGGCTAAGACTCAGCCGGAAAAGCTAAAATTTTGCGATGATGTGCTGCCTACGGATCCAGATTCCCCTGTCTGGGTTCCACGCAAGACGACGGCTATCTCAGCGGCGCAGGCTGCGGCGGCGGATGAGGAACCGGACACGGACCTGGAAACGGATCGCTTGCTGGGTCAGCAGCGGCACGACGAACAGGATTTTTTCGTCGATCAGGTGAGGAGCTTAAATAACTTGTCCCGCCAACTTATCAATAATCATTTCTGTGTATTCACCACAGTCACTGGCGGACAGCAATGCCAACGAGGGCACGGAGATCGCCAGCAATGGCCATATGAATGGGATGGCGGACAACAACAATCCGAATCCAATGCCGAATATTAAGCCGCAGACCTATTCGACGGCCACCATACGGCAGGGCATTGGCACCTCGTTGACTCCTAATTCGCCGGACATCTGCCAGATTGTGGGCACGGCGGACATCTCTATAAGTTCGCCAGAGAAATTGCAATTCAGCAAGAGTCCCACGGGATCCATCAAGTCGCTGAAGGATTCGGCGAACTCGGATAAGAAAGCCAAGTCGCGAAACAAGGAGGGTAAGTGAAAAGGAATTTTATATTGTTTTTTGAGCTACGCCCCCGGTTGGGTTTTTGTTACTGATATCGAAACATATTCGACATTTCACGCTGCAATCTGTGCCAATTTAATGCTGATATCACGTAAGTCTCTGTTTCTCAGCGATCGTTGTGCTAGATTTGCTTTCGAAGTTTGGATTTATAAAGCCATTTCTTAACTAATAATATTTTTATATTTCCCTTCAGGTCTTTTGGAACCCAAAGTTCTCATTGAGGGCGTGCTATTCCGGGCCAGATACCTTGGATCCACTCAACTCGTTTGCGAAGGTCAGCCAACCAAGTCGACCAGAATGATGCAGGCCGAGGAGGCTGTCTCCAGGATCAAGGTAAGTAATGGGAAACCCTGTGAACCACATAAAAGCACAACCATCCGAGAAACCCCGCTAGGCTATGCTTAAAGTGTGTTTGTGTGTGTGTGTCTAAAATTTTCTCGTTCGCTTTTCTCGTTCCCTGCTGCGCATTCCTATCGATAGGCTTTGGTAAGAGATCGTTGGCCCCTTTATAGTTGAAAACAAAACCAATTCCCCAACAAACAGGATTCGTTTTAACATATTTTTGTATATATTTCTGATTAACTAGGCTCCCGAAGGTGAAAGCCAACCGAGCACTGAAGTGGACCTGTTCATATCAACCGAGAAGATAATGGTGCTGAACACGGATCTCAAGGAGATCATGATGGACCATGCCCTTCGTACTATATCCTATATAGCCGACATTGGCGATCTGGTTGTGTTGATGGCTCGTCGCCGGTTCGTGCCCAATAGTGTTGTGGATCCAGCGACTGCCAGTCCATTGGGTGATGTGCCCAGTCCGGGAATGGGTGAGGATGGGTCACCGCCGAAAGAGCCACTCAGCAAGCACAATCGCACGCCCAAGATGATCTGCCATGTGTTTGAGAGTGATGAGGCGCAGTTCATAGCCCAGTCCATCGGACAGGCCTTTCAGGTAAGCAATCTGTAGTATTTTAACCAAAAATGAGACGCAAAACTAAAACAATTACTTTGAAAACAAACCAGGTGGCCTACATGGAGTTCCTGAAGGCTAACGGCATCGAGAATGAAAGCTTGGCCAAGGAGATGGACTACCAGGAGGTGCTTAACAGCCAAGAGATCTTTGGCGACGAGCTTGAGATCTTTGCCAAGAAAGAGCTGCAAAAGGAGGTGGTGGTGCCGAAGGCCAAAGGCGAAATCCTGGGCGTGGTAATCGTTGAGAGTGGTTGGGGCTCTATGCTGCCCACCGTAGTGATTGCCAATCTGATGAGCTCCGGAGCAGCTGCTCGCTGTGGCCAGCTGAACATCGGTGACCAGCTAATCGCCATCAATGGCATGAGCTTGGTGGGACTGCCGCTGTCCACCTGCCAGAGCTACATACGCAATGCCAAGAACCAAACTGCCGTCAAGTTCACCGTTGTGCCCTGTCCGCCTGTTGTCGAGGTCAAGATCCTGCGACCCAAGGCGCTGTTTCAATTGGGTTTTAGTGTTCAAAATGGCGTGGTGAGTCGGTCATAGAATACTTTTGAAATTTAAGATTCTTATGGTTTACTTTCCTGCAGATCTGCAGCCTTTTGCGTGGAGGAATCGCCGAGCGGGGCGGAGTACGCGTAGGCCATCGCATCATTGAGATTAACAACCAGAGCGTGGTGGCTGTTCCACACGATACCATTGTCAAGCTGTTGTCATCCTCAGTGGGCGAGGCAAGTAGTCTAAAGTGCTAGCAACCCTAGATTTCCTTAGATTTTTGATTATTCCTAAAATAGATCCTAATGAAGACGATGCCCACGTCCATGTTTCGTTTGCTCACCGGCCAGGAGACGCCTATCTATATATAAAAAAAAAAATATATATATATATATATGACACTGTTCACACGCCTGCGCTGGAATCGAAAAACTATAAATTCGTCGCGAACAACCCGATCAGCTTTAAGTTCCATCAACTGAAAACGAATCGACTGTGAGTTAAAATGATTCGAAAATAGACCAATTACTGGAATTCGATTAGCCTTAGGTTGGAAAAATTGTTTACGGATTTGTAGCCTTAAAAAACCTAGTAAACAGCACGAAGAAGGATAATGTTCATTTTAGCCAATTTTTAATGATTTCACAATTTGTAAATCGATAAAGCCTTAAAATGAGATTAATTGCTTATCAACAAAAGATCGTTCAACTGCCCAGAATCGATATATTGCAATGTGTGGAGATTATCATAACAGTTCATGAAGATATTTTACTAATTGGTTATTCTTTTTATTATTGTTTCTTACCATCTTTGTATATGAAAAAGACTGAATTTAAAGCCAGTGCGAGTGTATGTGAGCAGTCATTGTAAAGTATTTAAAGCGAAAGGATGAAGATGAATGTCCCAAAAAATAGATATACCCCGAAGATTCCCATTATTAACCCCTCGCATCCCTAAGCTTAAGCATTCGATTGAATTTACTTGCAAGCAATTATTTATGATATGATCTAATCCCATTATTTGTCATGTAAATTAACAACGTACTTTAGTTCTTTTTAACTACATTTATAATTTTCGAAGAATGAGAAGCAAAAAGCTACACACACACACACACACACCTTATGCCAAAAAAGAGTTAGATTTCGTTAAACTTATTATTGTATAGAGCCATTGCGGATGATTATTGCAATACATTTACCGATATTTATAATTAAATTAAATAAATAGCCTTAGTAAAACGAAGCCATGCCTGCAAAACAACAGCAACAACAAAACAAACAACAAACAAACAAAATAAATGCATTTAAAAAGCGTCAGAGAAAAATAAGAAAATAAAAAGTGAAAAAAAAAAATGAAAATTAAGGAAAAACCAAGCGCATATTGATTCTAATTGTATATGTAATGTCTGTACAAGAAATCTGCACATTTCTCGATCGATTATTGCCATATATACATAACGATATATATATATATATACTCGTAACGATAAATATGATAAATCTAAAGCGAAAACAATAAGCAAAACAGCAAAAGTAATACGAAGAACAATAATTTCAGCATTGTCTAGTTTTTCTGTTAAGCGAGGGCGTACCATAAATGTTTAAGAAAGAGACGGCGATGGATGGGAGCCATTGTAGCAAACAGAGACGGCACCATGCATAGCGAAAGAGATAGAGAGAGAGAGAGGAGAGAGCTTATTTTTGCATACTTTAAAAAGCGACAAACAAAAAGGCAAATAAACCACAAGAAACGCAAGTAATTGAAACCAATATGTATACATATGTTATTAATCTAAATGGAAATGACTAAACTAAAAGAATATTTTAAATATTTCAAGTGCAGGTAACAACAAAAGACGCAAGCTAATAATATTTATATAAATATATATATATATTAAAAAAAACAAATACTTCTGATTGCCATTCGGAAGCGCAGGTGCAATATTTTTGCAAAACACAGACAAACACACACACACACACAGCCAGAACAATTAATTAATATAAATTTCTAAGCTACTCGGGACACGGCAAGAACACACTAAGTAACCCACTAAAGAAACTCTCTGCTACTGCGCCTCTAACTAACTTCGAAAAACCAAACACTAATCGTATACTACCTAATGCAATTTATTTATTAATACTTAACACGTGACCGAATGCAAACGACAGCGAGAAACAAAAATAAACTACATTTATACACAAAAAATTATAGTTAAGAAGTTTAAAGTTTTAAGAGATTTTTAATGGATTAAAAGCTTGTGAGAAAAGTAAGTTTTGAGGTAAGTTTGAAGGCACTTTTGGCCTTTTAATTTGAAATTATATTCCACAAAGGATATCTTTTTGAGTTATAAAATATAAAATCTATTATTTATTCCAAGTAAACTTTATTTTGTAACCCTTTTTAATCACCTTTCTTTATTCCAAACATTGCAAATGAAAAGTTGCTGTCTGTTTTTCCTATCTTTTTTTCATTTAAGTCCACGCATAAAACTTTAATTGATTTTCGAGGGAGGAGGTGCTTGGTGTTTGGGGTCAAGGGTTACAATTTCCCCCTAACAACTGTTTTGTTCTTGTTGCCGTTGCAGTCAAACGAATTTTATTTATACGCGCGAATGTAAAAAAGTATCGCCCCATTTTGCTGGCGGCAACTTTTGATTTACGGCGGAGCACTCACAATTTCATGGGGAAACAAAACTCAATTTGTTTGGGCTCTGTTTCCGGCTCGGGGCACAAAAAAACTGTTGCTCCAATTACGCAGAAATTGCATTGGTTGCAATCTTGCACAGAGACAAATTTCTATAATTTTATGATATATTTTTTTTAAACTAAAATTTAGTTTTATTTACAGGTTACGACTTTCAAGGATGGATAAACAAAAACGTATAAAATTTAAAGTACTTTTTGCAAAACATGGTCTGAATTTCTCTCTGTGTACAGCCTTTTACTGCAGATGTGGCCCAGAAAAACTTTCAATTTACAAATATTTTTACAACTCCTTTGCGGAAAATGGGATTGCAATTATTTGGCCCCAAGGGTAGTGCAGAATTAAGGCGGAATATTTATTTATTTACGATGCAGCGAAAGTATCCCTATTTATATATATAATATTATATATATATATATATAATCGAATTAAATTGGCATTGGGTTTGCGGTTGTAGACAAAGGTATTTTCATCGTTTAACAATTTTCCCAACGACATCGCATGCAAATATTTATTAATTGCAGTCAGAGAAGAACCAACAAGCATCGTAAATCACAAGCATTCGAAGGAAAATGGCAAGGAAATGGAAATGATGGAAATTCAGGGAATGTTTGGATCAGGGAAACCCCTCTAGGTAAAAGTTTTTATAATTTAAGGTTATAAAAAAGGCAATGATAAAACATATTCTTCTTTGGATGATTAGTAGGTTGCCTATTATTAAGAAGATAATTTCCCATTTTTTTTTTTCTACATTTTCTTTACCTGTTGCAGTTTTCCTCCATTTTCTCCCACTACCTTTTCCTTTACTGAGGTTTTTCAGCAAAAATAATAATAAAACGCGCAATATTTGCATGGACAGAGGGGATAAAAATGCATTCAAATGGCCATGCAGCTGTCGTATATCATTTTACTGCACTGCCACCAGATCCCAGTTCCCAGATCCTTTGACCAACAGGGACTCGGACCGTGTCCTTCTACCCATTCCGTCCATCCAATTCGTGGTCGGCGGTCGCTCTTTGTGTGGTTTGCCTTTTGGCTCTTTATTGCCATTGTTGGCTTTATTGTCGCTGGAAATTAAGTGACAAGAGGACAAGAGGAGTCCTGTCGTTCTGGCCCTGCACTTTTTGCTCGTTTCTCGCTGGGTAAAGAGACGAAGTACAGTGAACACTAGTAAATCTAGGCTTCAAACTGGAAACTTAAACTAAATATGTTCTTTATTTTATTATTTGTCTTATGATTTCTACTTTGAGGTAAAATAATTCTACAAGCACTTTACTTTCTATTTACATTACAGAGCTACTTCTGCGTTCGTTTTTTTACTTTACATTAAGTGTATTTTACTCATTTTTGAAAAGGCTTCTTAATATTGAAAATATCTTATAATATTAACTTTATATAATAAATATAGATTTATCTTTCTTTCTTTCCAATAACATTAATCCAATCTTTTTAAACTTAAATTTTCCTTCATTAAGCAGTGTCTATAGTCTGGGCCCTTCAAACATTATGTTGTTCGTTTGGCTGTTCATCTGCCACTAAAGTGGAATTTAATATGCGCTTTCCTGTGATTCTGCATCTGTCACGCCCTCTCTTTGAGCCGCCCCTTTTTGGCAGCACACAGCCATCGCAAACTTAATCAAAATGCGATGCGGTCAAAAGGGCGTGAACAAGCCAGATGCAAGCAATGTTCACACCTCTTATAAACGACGTTTTCCTCATAAATTTAAAGCTCGTGAATTGAAATCTTTTTGGAAGTGTTACCTAACAGAAGGTTTTGTGTTGTTTTGAGTAAGTAACTAAAATGTTCTATACACGACCAATATAATGTTGCACATTTCTGTTTCCTGATTTTTCAGCCTTTAAATCAGAGCTCGCACCAAAATGTCAGAATAGAAATGATAAAAGTAAGTATAGGAGCTTTAAGTTTCGGTAGTCAGCTTCATAAAAAAGTAATTGTATTAAACAATCTGTTTGTTCTGATAAAGTTACAGCTAAGAAACGGCGACAATCCGGGCTCTCTGCTGCCAACAGACGTATACTTGATTTTGGGCGGAAAAAAATCAGTTTTTTGGTCATAGCACAGCCAAAAATGGCTCAAATGAGGAATGTAATACCTCGTAGGGCTCGTAATTTGATTGCCATGATTCCCAATTGATTTGCATTCAAATCTGGAAAACTTCATTTCTGGCCATTTTTTGAAAATTTTGATGATGGTACCCCTTATCAAAAATGCGAAATTTGGGCCAAAATTGAATTTCCCAAAATCGAAAAACCAGTGATAGGGGTGGTAAGTGCTGGTCGTTAGCAGCACAAAACAGTCATTCTTTTGGCTGTGCGCCTTGTTTTGGCCGAGCTAGAGCTAAAAAGCCGCAACTAAGTAATCATTTCTGATAAAAATCGGTTTCGTGATTTTTCAGCCATTAAATCGGAGCTCCCACTAAAATAACAGAACAATAATGATAAAAGTAAGTATAGGGGCTTTAAGTTTCGGTAGTTAGCTTCATAAAACAGTCATTGTTTTAGCCGTACGTCTTTTTTTGACAACGTTAGAGCTAAGGAACTGCAACAAGCCGGGCTCTCTGCTGTCAAAAGGCGTATACTTGATTTTGGGCGCAAAAAAATCTGTTTCTTAGCGATAGCGAAGCCAAAAATGCTCCAAATGAGGAATGTAATACCTCGTAGGGCTCGTAATTTGATTGCCATGATTCCCAATAGATTTGCATTCAAATCTGGAAAACTTTATTTCTGGCCATTTTTTGAAAATTTTGATGATGGTACCCCTTATCAAAAATGCGAAATTTGGGCCAAAATTGAATTTCCCAAAATCGAAAAACCAGTGATAGGGGTGGTAAGTGCTGGTCGTTAGCAGCACAAAACAGTCATTCTTTTGGCTGTGCGCCTTGTTTTGGCCGAGCTAGAGCTAAAAAGCCGCAAATAATTTTACTCATTTCTGATAAAAATCGGTTTCGTGATTTTTCAGCCATTAAATTGGAGCTCCCACTAAAATATCAGAACGATAATGATAAAAGCAAGTATAGGGGTGTTAAGTTTCGGTAGTTAGCTGGATAAAATAGTCAATGCTTTAGCCATGCGGCTTGTTTTGACAAAGTTACAGCTAAGAAACGGCGACAAAACCAATATTTTCCATAAAAAGATGACGTTACCCCTGTCCAAAAAATGCAAAAATTGGCCGAAAAATTAATTTTTCAAAAATAACCCAAAAATGATAGGAATAATTAGTTTTGGTTTTAAGCTGCACACAACAGCTAATCTTTCATCTGTCAGGTTTGTTTTGAGCAAGTTACAGGTTAAAATCCATGAAAAAATATTGAAATTTCTAGCAAAAGTTGTCTCGTTATTTTCGGCCAAGAAATCTGCATATTTGCCACAACAATGTGAAAGAGGGTTGTAGAGGTTGTTGCATAAACATATAATTATCTTAAAGTCATCATTTTGTAGAAGTAAATAAATAAATAAACACAACAACTTGTCACGGAGACATCTTCCTTTGATAAAATAAAATGATTAGCATAAAATGTAGACAAGAAGTCACATTGTAATTTCTTACTTCCCTGAGCCATAAAGAAACTATGAATAATTTTAGAAATTCGCCCAAGGAGTTCCTTCTTCATGGATCCTTGTGAGTTCAGCTCCTTAAACTTTGTTTGTTGGCCAAAGGGAAAAGTTTTTCGCACATGTCGCGGCGGGTGAGTGGAGGGGGTTGTTTCGGGGGTTAAACCTGAGTTAAAGTTGAATATTTGAACTTGCATATAATGTGTTAAATAAGTTGTCTTTTGCGCCGTGTCGCACGTGGCGTATACTTCATATTTCCCAACTGAATCGCAGTCGCTGTCGCTCCGCCTGTCAGTGCTTTGTTGGTATTTGTTGTTGTTGTTCGTTGCCGCGCTGTGTGGGCATGGGAGTGAATGGGTGGTAAAAATGGTTTCTAGGTGGTTTTTAGATGTTCGCAGCATGACCTTGCGTTGCTTGGCCCCATCAAGGTTGATGGAGGTTTTTGCCACTCGAAACGCAGCCAAAAACGAAACAAAACAAAACAATTAATGCAACTGGATGGTTTTCGTGCCTCATTTGCATGCAACCGAGGCAACGGCATCGTGTATTTCCTTTTTTTTTCCCCCGCAAAAAACCCCCAATTAGCCAGGCTTAATCAACGGCCAAATGCATTTGTTGCTCTCTTGGCTTCTGGTTTTTTTTTTGCCTTTGCCTTTTTTTTTTTTTGGCCATTAGATTTTTTGGCCTAGAACATAAGTCAAAAATGTTTCTTTCGCATGGAAGTGAGGAAAAATGATTTGGCTTTTTCGGTTTACGAGCAATCACAGACGTTTTCCACGGCAGCTAGTCCATTCGCAGGAAACTGTCAAATGGCCCTTTTTCGGTGTCCCCTTTTTACTGCCCGCAGTAATGCCAAAAAGTGTGCTACAAAAAATTTGATTTGTACTCACGCTTATGCAATACACGCACACACGGGCTACAGCAAGTACAGTGAAGACTAACCTATAAGCTGTGATAAGAAGTTGATATTTTCTTTATCAGGTAATGGCTTATATGATGTCTTTGCAGGTTTCATTTTAGAATTTCTACATAAAATATGTTTAAAGACTGAAATTGCTTAAGAAAAGGAAGTTCTTAAAGTTCTTAGTGAAAATTCTGTCCTTGAGTTTTCACTGCCACAGACACACA